GAAATCTGGGATAGCCAATTTGTAACAATGACCTCCCAGCATCATTTTCCAAAGAACTGCGATGGAGAGCAGTTGGGAGACTAGAGGCAGGACAAAGTCAGACAGAAGTGGCCAAATGCCTAAATGTGAATCCTTCTGTGGTTCAGAGACTTTTGCAACAATTCCTAACCACACATTCAGCATTCAGGAGGTCTAGCCAAGGACAGCCAACTGCTATGATGACTAATATTTGTTGTTATGTGCATGAAGCAGTAGAACCCCAACTCAGATCCTCCATTGCTGCAGCCATTGGAAGGTTGGTATCAACGTCAACCATGTGTAGAAGGCTCCACAAAGGAAGTCTGTATATAAGGCTATTTGCATGCGCGTTGCGTCATAGAATGGAACGTTTGAGGTGGGCATGTCAACATGTCCACTGGACAGCTGATTAATGGAGGGATAGATCCAAGTTTGGATCTTTATGGATGAGTCCAGGTTTGTTATTTTATTTGGAGAGAACCTGGAACCCATCATCAGTCATCAAACCTCCATGAAAGAGATGCATATGGAGGAGGCAGTGTCTGTGTTTCTATTGGTATCTCTTTTGGTGGATGCACAGATCTCCATGTCTTTCCACGTGGAACCATGAATGACATAGATATAGATATAGAGATGACACCCTCGATGCTTATGTGCACCTTTATATCGGGGCAATAGCTGATAATTTCCTGTTACAGGATGACAACAGTAGACCGCGCGGGGCTCGCATAATGGACAATTATCAACAGCAAACAATCCAGCACATGAAATGGCCAGCTTGATCACCAGGACCTGAATCCTATCAAGCATGTTTGGGATGCTTTAGAAAGACATATACCTGCTATTAATCCTCCTCTTCAAACCCTTCTCACGCTTGCAACTGCTTTGCAACAGCAATGGCTCTCACTTCCTACAAAACTAATAGACTGCATAATTGACAACATCGCACATCACTGAATGTGTTATACTGCTTCTAGAGGAGATCATAATCCATATTGAAAGTAATTTTCGTACACAAACTCCGATTTGTTCATTTCATACATATGCTAATTTATATAGCATCATAATTGTCTGGTAATTTTTTCCATGTTATTTTATATCTTACTATGTATTGTATACTGTGGATCAGTTTAATTAAATTCTACATGCAACTTTTTGAGTAATTATCATTTTTGTGATTTTTCCTTAATTAATAATAACCAGTTTACTTCCTATGAACAACACTTGATGCTGTAGAAAGTGGTCACATTCACATAAGGTGTAGAGAAAAAACTATGTAAAAAAAAGCTAAATATAGTTATGAAATCACCATGCCTACAGCTCAAAAATAATTGTGTCATAAATTGTTCTTTGGTGTATATGCATTACGATTAACTTAGACTAATGATGTAGCTTGATTTTTTTTAGCTCTGTTTTAGCCTTTGACTACAGGAAAATGACGACTTACCACACTTTTACTAACACTTTTAGTAAATGTAAAATACAGATATGTTTCCAATTATGTTTCTACTAAACCAACTACATTTTATAACATATTTATTCATATAAATTAAATATAAAATGTTTAGTGCAATAAAATGACTTTTAAAAGATCTTTTAGATTTTTTTTTGAAAGAGAATTATTTATTATAAGGCAGTAATGTGTGGAATAATCAATCCCTCAAAAAAAAAAAAAAATTATGGCCTCTAGATAGCTGAAGGGAAGAAACTCATGCAATGTCATCAAATGGACTTGTAAATTTTTACGTTAAGTGATCTAGACATTAATATACGAGATTTTTACAAAATTTAAGCTTTTCAAGTTTAAGCTTCAATTCCTTGTTTATGCCTACGTTTAAAAATATGTATGTATGTATATATAAGATATAAAAAAAATATGATAGCTGCTTCTAAAAAAATAATTGGCAACCTCAAAATTAACATTTTAGATTTGGTACTCTCCCCTTAACTTCATCTGTTCTCCCAAATTTGAGATCTTTCTATGTTATGCAATGCTACTGGAAAAGGGCAACTCTACTTTTACCTCAGACTCAGTTTCAATACTCTTGGCACAATAACTATGTCACTCTTCTTGCCTATCTCTACATTGCTAATATCCTCCTGCTTTGCTTCTCTAAAATGCCTGCATCTTAATTTTAAGAAACCAATGTACATAGCAATTTATCATATTTCATTATGATTGAATCATAGAAATGTATAGGACTTCATTATGATTGGATAAATATCTACAGAGATGATTTTATATACGTGGAAACAAAGACTGGAAATTATTCAAGTTCATATTTTGTTATCTTCATTTGCAAGCCTTCACCATAAGCCACAATGACTGCAAGCTGATTTCTCTTCTATGCTTAAAAAATATTACATATATATATGTAATGATATTTTAAAATCAATTGATTAAATTCTAATAATATTGCTTAATAATGTGTTGGCGATTCTGTACCTAAATTGCATCCCTGTTCCTAAATTTTGGCGAAATCCTTTCTTTAGTATAAAATATATTAACTTGTTGGCGCCCGCCAAATCGCCAAACTCATAAATCTGTCATATTACATAAAGTCCTTAAGAACACTCCTGATGAGAAGATAGCGTCACCTCGTGATTTCAATTAATATCGCTGATTGGATGAGCCTCGTGATGCACACATATGTATAAATGGGGCTTCTAAAAAAGAAATGCTTGTGAGATGGATGCTAAAATAAACCTACCACTTTATAATCCAAAATTTGTCTCATTCCTGTTGCCCCGGCTGCACAAAATAAATAATGTATGAGAAATTACATTTCATATCTATAATTTAATATTTTTAAAAAATGAAATTAACTTTAAAAATTATGTCCCAGAATCTTTGAAATTTTGACATAATTTTATTAAAATTACACCTCATAGATTATGTACTGCATGGAGAGAAAGTGTCTAGAATTTCACTATTTGAATAAATGATGCACAAGTTTCTTGAATACATACGAATTCAACTGAATATTCACAGAACTTATTCACTAACTTGTGAAAAATATTATATTATATATTAGTCATATTAACATAGTATTAAAGAAGGGAGATTAATCCATGCATTTTTGTTTTCTTAATTTTTACTTTATGCATTAGGATCACTATGTGTTTTAGTATCTTTGATTTTTACTTTGATGTTTTCATATATTACAAAAACTTGGTGGAATTCATGTCTTTTTACTGATGAGTTGGATACACATCTTGAGTTTTATACTTCATTTAAATTTAGCAGCACTTCGCACTAATTTCTAACTTTTAGTACAATCGTACTTCTCGCCTCGTTGACTACTTCTTATCTCTTAACATATTATATTCACTAACTTATCAAAAAACACGATTATATAAAGTTATAGGGAAAGAATCATCTGATTACAAAATTTAATTTTTTCATAATTATAAACAAAAAATTATAAAAGAAAAATATTAAATTTTTATTTTGTTAATATTGTCTTTTTGCAATAAGTGGTAGCCCTGTTGTCATCGAGCTATTTTTGAGATTCTGAAAAAAGTGGAAAAGGCATCTAAGCAGAAGAATGCTTTTTGCATGCTCTCCTTTGCAAGAAGTCGGACAGTAATCATTGTTCAGCATGGATTTAAGAGAAAGTAACATACAAATAAAGCATTACATCTCAGTGTATCAGAATGTGGTACAAACAGTTCCAGGAAACTGGATGCCTGTGTAAAAGCAAAAGTCCAAGGCAACCAGGCGTTTCAGCAGAGAATGTTGAAAAAGTGCAAGAGACCTTTTTTATGCAATCAGAAAAAATTGACAGTTCTTGTGAGACGTGAATTTGGGATACCGCTGTCTACCGTTTGGACTGTGTATAAATTGCAGAGCATGCAAGCACTGAAGCTTAATGACGAGTTGCAATGTCAAAGCTACTGCCTTTTCGTGGATTAAACTGTGCAGGACAAAGGCTTTTACAATCAACTCATATTTAGTGATAAAGCCGCCTTTCATTTAAATGGCAAAGTAAACCAACATAACGTGCAAATTTGGGGATCGGAAAATTCCTGGGCCTACATTGAACACGTAAGGGATTCCCCAAAAATAAACGTCTATTTGCGCAGTATTTTTGGAAAACAGTTCTTTTTTTGCCAAAAATTCAAGGAGTCATTACTAACCATCTTGATATGCTGGAAATTTGGCTTTTTCCTCAGTTGAAGGTATATGAGCAAAATTTCATTTTCTGAAATATGGTGCACCACCACATTGGCATTTGGAAGTTGGTAAATTTCTAAACAGAGAACTACCATTGGATTGGTCACAGTACAGCTAATGATTTGATCCTACACAGCTACTTTCCAAGGACACCTGACTTTCATGTAATTTCTTCCGTTGGGGATATGTCAAAGATCTTATGTTCATACCATCTTTGCCTGCAAGTTTACATGAACTTAGACAATGCATTTGTGATGCTTTGCAAACAGTTAATGGTGAAATATTACAATGTGTTTGGCAAAAAATGGGATATCGCATTGATATTATACGTGTGACTAAAGGAAGCCATATCGAACATTTGTGAAAAAAATTCAACTTTTAATTACAATGACATATTTATAATTTTCTGTTTGTAATTAAGAAAAATATTCAATTTTGTAATCGTATGCTTCTTTCTTGATAATCCTGTATTATTTGGGTAGCCATCAAAACTGGCATTTTTTATTTCTCAGTAATAGAATTTAATTTTAAAACTGTATAATTCAGCTTCAGGATGGTTTTTAATATATCCAAAATGTTCTATGCACAGCAAGAGAATGAGACATGTTCCCATTCTTCAAGAAGCAAAACTGTTATTTAAAAAAATCCACCTTAAAAAAGTTGGTTAACAGTCCTTCAAATTGTAGAAAACATTTCTTTGAAATTAATAGCATTTTAAAATTGAATTGTTTAATTTTTACACTTCATGTTTGTGTGCTTTTTATACATATATTAAAAAAAAAGATTTTCGGGCATTACATTTAGCTAAATAACTATAGTGTTTATTAAAGCATTTTACACAATGCTCCAAAAATAAATGCATATTATGAAGTATATATAATGATAATACATAAGGAGATATTTTACATAATGTACAAAAAGAATTCAGATATTTTTAGCATCTTTCAAAAACCTTATATAAATCTGGAAGATTAGCAATCTGTAAAATACTGGTATCAGTTGAGAAATAGTTCGGTGGTTTTAAATTCATCTTTATAGCAGGATAAATCACGTGTTCTATAGTCCATTTCCATGATGGCTGATCACTTTTATTACTATCCTAAACCAAAAATTAATAGAAAATAATTAGTATAAAAAGAAATTTTGAACATATAACATATTTTTAATAAATAAAAATGTGACATTCAAATTCCTGAATCATGACGTATACTGAATGTGACCTCAGTATACGTCATGTTCGGCCATGAAAACTTTTGTTTCGGAAACGACTCGAGTTCAATGAATCACTAATGCATGCACTATTCTTTTTTACCTCTTTTGAGCCAATACTACTGCTGATGATCATCATTACTGTTGCTATCATTCAATAAACAAATTGGGCTATAATTCTGAATTTTCAAGTGGTTCTGTGTTCTCAAGTGATTGTGTGTTCTTCCATATAATTAGCCTAAAAGGTAATAGCCCAGAAGGGCTATTAAGTCGTTTTGGCATTTTGTGAAAACTTTAAAAGGCTGTATCACTTTTCAAACTGTTGCCACCACATATTATCGCCTTACGTTATATTTAAAGAAATTAAATTATGAAGAATCTGCATAAATGCATGTACGTTTCTTGCACTGTAATAAAAATCAATGGTACCTATAGTCATCAAATTTTAAATAAAGTAATCCTCCACCTGAATGTTGGCATCTAGAAGCCTTAATATGGAATTATTTTTATTACCTATTTCACATTTTGTAAACCTTTAATGACTTTTTGATTTCTTTAAAGGTTTACAAAATGTGAAATAGGTAATAAAAACTTAACAATTTCAAAGCAAGCATTGGCAACACTGTACAGAAAAAGAAAAAAAAAAAAAATTTTTTTTTTTTTATCTCCAGCGTGTGAGACTATGCGTTAGAAATTCTAAAGATATTCTCTTTTTAAATTATTTTGTGATATTGCCATTGAATTGAATTTTATGGTTTAAGTGTGAAGAACATGATATTTAATATATAAAGATAACACACAAAAGTTTAAAAAAAAAAAAAAAAAATCCCTTTGGGCGTACTATAAAATCTGAAAACATTGATTTTTTATTATTTTTTTATAAATTCATTAACAATGAATTTTAGGAAAGTTAATGAGGAGAATCAATCAGTGATGAAAATTGTTAAGATTTCCATGGAGGTAAAAAATATTGTTTGGAAAGTATGAAGATAAGATGTATGACTTGGCAATTGCATATTGTATGCTGAGTACGATGGTGTCTACGAATGTGAAAAACAAAAATGGTATTAACATTGTGAAGAAAGTGAAACCGATTACCAAACAAAGGTCAGAGACATGCAAGCATGCTAAAAAATTTCTTTAAATCTAGAAAGCAGAAAAATATTTACGAATATAAAATCATATGCAGTGCTTCATTTATATACAGAATATACCTCACCCATTGCATATGTGTTTAGCACTAACAGTGTTATAATAATAACAATAGTATTTTTGTATAAGAATAGATTAATTATTCTTCCTTTATACCTTATTGGAAAAATGTGGTATATGCTCAAGTATCTGGAACAGATCATTGATGTATACTGAGGTACTACTGTATCTTGGGGGGGGGGGGGGAAGAGAGAGGCTCAACACTCAGAAACTCAAATTTTTATACTTTAATATTCTAATCTTTTGGATCTGAATCTAAAAACTCATAAAAGATTTCCACTTATACAACAATCAGTTTCTTTGACATTTTAAAATATCTTTTAAAAATAACACAAATATTGCAATTTCAGTTGGCTTGTATCATCAAAAGCACCTCTACTTTACTAGAGACACTTTAATGTTTATTTATGTTATTTCTTGATATAAAATCTCCCAGCTACACTTGTTTTAATTTATAAAGAAAATATGTAAAAAATCTTAACTATTACTCAACTATTTTTTCTGAATACATCATATTAAAAAATGAATCTCCAGATTCAAGAATTTTAATTATGTATTTTATTGTTAAATTTCTTTTAAACTTATTAAATATATGTACATTTTTCTAAAACTGCATTCTTAAATTTGTTTTTCATTAAATGCAGATTTCAAATTTTGCTTTAATTATAAACTTTTAATAATAAGTAAAAGTTTCTCCTTTTATTATTATTCTTGTATTAGGATTCAAGAAATTTCAAGGATTAAGATTTGAGAAAATTTAAGATTTACCTAACCTCTAGTTTTAAGCTAAAATTAGTTTTAGCCTTAATATTCTTTTTAACAGCATAAAGCTTAATATTCTTTTTAACAGCATAAAGCTTAATATTCTTTTTAACAGCATACTTACATATTAAGCAGGTAGAAACTTTGGTTAGGGATAATTTGGACCTAAAGATTACAGTTGGGCAGTTTGCATACCAACTTTTTGAATTCTACTCTGTTTCACAGCTTTTGTAAACCAGATCAAGTTTCAGTCAGACCTATTTCTTTCTTGTCTTCTTACCATCTGTCTGCACATCCCAATGCTAAACTTTAACATATTTTCTTTAGAGATTCAAAATTCATTGCATGTAGCAGAATAAGAACATTCTTGACTTTTTTTAATTTCTTGATTTTGAAAAGATCTGTTATTTTTAATTTTATTATTTAGTAAATCCCAGAGTTCCATGAAGAAAATAAGAAATTTATACCACATCAAAAGATTAATCATATTGAAAATCACAAAAGAACACTGTTAAGGTTGAAGGCATGGCTGCAACACAATAGCAGACATTTACTGGCAAGTTAGCACTCGAATAGAAGAGAAACACGTCAATGTGACAATTAAAATTGCAATAACAACCTTGTATTTAGCACTCATTTAGTAGTCACTAAAATATTGCTAATATGTAATTACCTAATATAGTTAGCTCCATTATTTACACCAATAATTTAAGTTTCATAGACAGTAATCAAAATAAATCCCATAACCAGAAGTTAATTTAATAGTATGAAATTTCGAAGTCAATAACATCCAAGTAAAAAATTTGCCACAGCTTTAAGAGAAAACATAAATAGTAAGCATTTTATTAAATACTTGAAAAACATTTTACTCTGTTAGAAAAAGGAAATAACACATTGAAAACCACCATTCAAAACAGACTCAAAAATGCATCTAAATCTTTACACTCTCTTTTTATGAGACTTTTTAATAAATCTTCAAACTATTTTAATTAAGAAGTTACAGCACAACAGAGCAAATAGTACACAAAACAAAGATTATAACAAACTTTGACTCAATATTTTACGCAGAATTAATCCTTTTTTTTTTTTTTTTTTTTTTCCATTCTCAATTGACACAATTTAAAATGTAGAATTGTAACCCCATGGCTCAACGAGTGCCACCTAGCAACTGCCAGAATAAACACACCAAATAAAAAGACTCTAGCCTTCAGTCGATGTACGGGAGTCACGAACTAAGCATGCTGCTTCCCCGAGATTTACATTGTAACTTAAATGTGTAATTATAATGCCCTTAATTGTAATGTTTTATCTTAATAGTGTTTTGTTAATTAAAACTACATAAAAAGGCCAAGTGAGTCTTTGGTTTATAGAAGTTTTGGTTATAGTTGGCTACCCAACGCGCAGCTCGAATGATTTATCCAGTTGAGAAAAAAACCATGTTCAAGATTCCAGGACATCGACTCATATTTTTTTCCAGCTTTTAAGTACAGTCAAAAGTCGTTAATCCAGACTCGTCGGGACTTCGGCGATTCCAGATTATAGATCATCAGTTTAAATCTGGTAAGATGGCATGCAGAAATTATAAAATTAAAAATATGAAACCATAATTTATGAAATAAAGAAAAATTATGATCTAAAGGGTATCAAAATTTACAAAAAAAAGCTTAATATTTATTTGTTTACTTTATTAAACATTTCTTTCAATGTAAGTTGTTTAAGTTCCTTCGTTTTTTATGTGATAATACTTTCTCTTTAATTCTATAAACAGACATAATTTCTTATTCAGTTACAAAGTTCCGCTGTTCAAGTCCTATAATTGCTGTGTCGAGAATATCGACTAATTTGTCAATCGAAATTTTTTCATTTTCAATAACCTCTTTGTCACTTTCTTCGCTATTGGAAGCGAATTATAATGACGAGGAATTTAAATTTAAATCATATCAAAGACGGAGTACATCGAGATGAAATACTACATTTAGTAAGGAATTATAAGCCAAATAAAATAAAAACATCTGCCCTGAAGATAAGGATAGCGCTGACAGATCAACTTCCAACTCATTGCGCGCCGCGGCGTTCCCCGCGCCACAGAGCAGTGTGATATTGATAAACAGATTTCAGAATGGTTAGATAACCAAAGGGGCTTTATTCATTTTTTTGCAGCAATTCCACTTTCTGTTTAATGGACTTCGAAACATACTTTCGCTTTGTAGATCCTTTACACATTAGTAAATATTTATCGGAATTATATCGGAAATTCTATTTGACATAATCGAAAGTTCAAGCTTACTTTTATAAAATTGCTCTAACAGTCTGCAAAAAATAATAAGCCAGTTCCAATTCGAAGATTAAGGAACAACGCAATCTGCAACATTAACTGAATTAGATAATTTTAGCTTAGCTTATACCGTCCGTTATACATGAAACGCGCGTGGGTAAACATATTTTTCGCATGCGCACACGCATATTCGCAGCCGTAAAGGTCTTGCGTGCGTGCGTCAAAGCGACGCATGCGCAGAAAGTTTGTAGCTTTGAGGTCCGGATTATAGATCATTCTGGATTATGGGTGTCCAAATTAACGACTTTTGACTGTATACTGCTTCCACCAGCAAAGATTATTTGGAAACTGCACAACGAAGTATCATTTTTATCTTCACCCGAAGGTTATTTTCGACATTGCATGGTTTCATCTTCACCCGAAGATAACAGATAAGATATTTTCACTTAATAAGCATTTAACTTAATAAGGTAACAGATTTTCACTTAATAAGCAATATAAAATTCTTACTATAACCTTGTTAATACTTTAATAATATGGAATAAAATGTGTCATTAAAAACAAAACAGAATCATATATAAAGTATATACAATACAAAGTCCGTAATCCGGACTCATCGGGACTTCGGCAGTTTCCGATTAAGGGTTTTTCTGGATTACCATCAATTTAAATCTGGTAAGATGGTATGCAGAAATTATACAATTAAAAATATGAAATTGTAATTTATGAAATAAAGAGCAATTAGGATTTAAAGGGTATCAAAATTTACAAAGAAAAAGCTTAATATTTATTTGTTTACTTTATTAAACATATCTTTCAATGTAAGTTATTTAAGTTGCTTCGTTTTTTGTGCTAAACGCGCATGCGTAAAGCATACAAAAAAAAAAAAAAGTTCCTTTTAGATATATTGCTTTTTAAGAATTTATATTGTCTTACATTGTTTAAATTTAAATAATTGATTTTTATTTTAATTTCCTGTGTTTTAATTCTATGTTCTAAATGAAAATTAATTTTGTTTTCATTAGAAGTCAACACAAATTTCTTTTCAGTTTTGAACGAAAAGTGTTTAACGTGGCAAAATGTTATTCTTATTCTGATTGATAAATGTTTCCGGTGTGCATAATTCTTTTAGGACTTTATAACTGTATTGCCAGCTATGAATAAGTTGTATGTTTTGTTTTATTTTATTTTATGAATAATATTAACAAATACTTTTTTTTTTCCTCTTTGAGAACAGAAATGATTAAAAAGTGAAAAGGGTTTTATCTAGCATATTATTTAAACTATGGCACTAATAGAATATACTAATGAGGTATTACTAATAGAAGATTTATCAAAGTTAAATTTCATATTTGGGATTTTTATGTTTACTAAATTTATGCATTTTATTATCCATTGGCCAAGTGTACCAATATTTGTAAAATGTTAGTTTCATTTTCGAAGTAATCTCAGATTAATGTTTTTGTTCGATGTTGTTTTTCAGATATTATGTAATTGTTAGGGGTAATTAAGAAACTCATAAAATTTCTTAACATATAATTTTTCTTTAAACAAATATTGAACTTTTCAATGGACATTGAAAGTACAATAACATGCATTTTTGGGACTAACCAGAAAAAAAAATCTGCAAGTGTTAGCCACAGAACTGGGTCCGCCCATTTCAGATAATTTGAAAGTGATTCAATTCAAAGAGCTAATCATGCACATAGACAAAAAATTCCATAAATTTCCAATTAAGTTCTGAAACATCCATTGGAATGAATCTTCAAAGTGACGAAGGTAAACATCTACATACAAAATGGCATACTCAACTAAATCGCTTATTGCAAAAATTCAAGAGAACTGCTTGGAACCAGGGAAAGATCTAACCTCATGTAGTGAAAGTTTAAAGAGGATGATCTTGATTCTGTGCTGTTGAATGAATCATGCTGATTCTGTATTTTTGAATGAATCATCCCGATTCAGTGAAGGTTTAAAGAGAATCATCCTGATTCTGTGCTGCTGAATGAATCATCTCGATTCAGTAAAATTTGAAGAGTCATCCTGATTGTGTGAAATTTTGAGTGAATCATCCCGTTTCCAAGAAGTATGAAGAGAATCACCCTGATTCTATGCTGTGCGATGAATCATCACGAATCAATGAAGTTTGAATTGAATCATCCCGATTCAATGAAGTATGAAGAGAATCATCCCGATTCTATGGAGTTTCGAGTGAATCATCCCAATTCAATGAAGTATGAATAGAATCATTCCGATTCTATGCTGTGTGATGAATCCGAATCAATGAAGTAAGGAAGAAAATCATCCTCATTCTGTGTTGTGTGATGAATCATCCTGATTCAACGAAGTTTGAATGAATCATCCTTATTCAGTATGAAAAGGATCATCCCGATTTTATGAAGTTTTGAATAAATCATCCTGATTCAGTGAAGTTTGAAGACTATCATCCTGATTCTATGCTGTACCATGAATCGTCCTGATTCAATAAAGCTTGGAGGGAATCATCCAGATTCTATGTTGATGATGAATCATCCCGATTTAATGAAGAGTATGAAAAGCCCAAAAATATATTATGGTTGTCGACGTCAAAAGGCTTCTTATGAACCAGGTAATAGTGTATGGGTGACGTTACATCTTATTTGCAGACCAAACCAACATATTTCTGGCTCTTCGCCGGGACGAGCCAGAGGTAGAGTCTGTAACCCCACGGCTTAATGAGTGCCACCTAGCGGCTGCCGGAATAAACACCACCCAAATAAAAAGACTCTAGCCTTCAGTCGATGTACAGGAGTCATGAACTAAGCATGCTGTTTCCCCAAAATGTTGTTCCCCGAGATTTACTTTATAACCTAAATGTGTAATTATAACACCCTTAATTGTAATGTTTTATCTTAATTTTGTTTTGTTAATTAGAACTATTTAAAAAGGCCAAGTGAGTCTTTTGTTTATGGTAGTTTTGGTTATAGAATTAAGTAAACCAACATCAATAAGCTTACCTCTGATAAACCAGACAGATTCCCATGCACTGTTTCTGGAACAGCATAGAATGCAGCCATTTCTCGAGAAAAAGACTGAAAACATTCTTTTTCTGAAGACCATTCAACATCAGAAGCAAGACGTAACATCAGGCTAGGAAGGTTAACCAGAGGAGGATGATAATTTTCCAATAGCATAGGCAGGGTTAATAAATTACCATTCTGCAAATTATAATGATATATATGTAGATTATAAATCATTTGATAAATATTAACATTTTAAATGCATTCATTAAAGATAATAACAATCAAATTATACCTGAGAATTTTAAAATTATATATTTAGCATAATGCAAGTGTGTATATATATATATGTTTTATATATTAAATGTGACTTTTTCTAATAATGTTGCTTTGTGGTTATTTATTAGTCATTTGTGAAAAATTTAACATAGTGCTTCTATTCTAATTGAATAAATTGTAAATATTTTATTATTATTATTATATTATTATTATTATTATTAAATACATTTCTAAACATATCTAAAGCCTTACAATCTAATTTTTTCCTCAGAAGAAACACCACAAATATTGCAATTTAAAAGTCTGGGGTTTCTAAAGTACAGCATAAGTATTAATTCAAATTCTCCTTCTTTTGATTGCCCTAACTAATGCTACCAGATGATTATTTTGCATTGAGTGGAAAATTTTTGTCAATTTTATATTTTTTTTTAAACTTAACACAATTTTTTAATTATAAATTAATACTAAAGTCATGAAGGAATAAATTTAAGAGAAAAACTTCATAAAGTGAGGTTTGACTGTATATTAAAATCAAATTCTCATTCAGAGTTTTAAAGACTAACTGATAATCATGTAATATGTGATCTATCACTTTAAATAATAACATTTTTGTTAAATTATTCTGCTTATTGAAATGTTAAATATATTTGTATTTTACAAGTTTCATTTATTGTGTTTGTATTATTCAGTTATTGTTTATTCATTTCAGCTATGAATTTACATTGAAATGTAGTTACTTAATATTCAAGACTTGACATGGACTAAAAAGAGAGGGGGGTGAAGCTCAGACTCTTTAATTATTTGCTCATGATTAACGAATTTACATATTGAAGTCTAGTATTATATTTACTAGCATTAATTCTTGTTTGTATAAATTTCTCATTCATATTTGTAAATTGCATCACAAACTTGTTAGCTCTTGCATGTGAACGTAGTAAAGCCAGGTAGGATGTAGGCACATGCATGCTCCCAATGATGTGGGTGCATATGGGTGCCAACATCATTTGCAACTGAAAAAAAAAAAAAAAAAAAAAAAAAAAAAAAAAGATGCATTCTAAAGATGTAAAAGAAGTTCTATATATTAATAAAATGTTGTTTCATGACTAACTTGTAACTGTATATACTTCAAATGACTATGGTTACTTTGAATACATCGTTTCATGACTAAAGACCTCTCTCCACAAGGAGACATATCTCCAAACAAGTATCTCTGGATGTCTGCAGTGCCTGTACCAGTCTATCTACACAGGAAAACATATAACCTGGTACATCAAGACACATGTCAACAGTGCCTGTACTTACTATTTGTTACTTACTTGTATTGATTACTGCACACGACAGGATATACTGTTACCAGAGGCTTATTTGGCAAGAACAAATAAGATTGCATATGGAAATTATGAGCCCAAAAGGCAATGATGGCTACTCTCAGCGCTTAGTTTATTGAATAATATATACCATAAATCATTAGGGGTTTTTGCTATTATTTTAACAAACTTAATTTATGATGCAATATATCCTTCAGATTACAATTTCTGATAGATTTCTTTATAAATAGAATATTTCTTTTGCCTTGATACAAGTGATTTGCTATTGAAAACTATAGAGCGATGTACTTTTTTTACCTTATTTTACTTAATCTAATAGAATATTTTTTTCCTTGAGTGTATTTTGTCAGATGTCTTAAAAACAAGAAAAGCTTAATTTATCATCTGTTTGCATTTGATTATATTTCCAATTTTTCATTGTTAATGATTTTTCAAGTTTAGCCCTACATCAAATTAGCTCAACTGTTTGCTGTATCTATGCTTGGCGCTGATCACTTTGCACATTTACCCTCGATTTCATGGCATGGTTAAATTTTCCATAACCTAGTAGATTGCGTGTTCAAATCCAGTTGAGCTGTTTTCTGAAATTTTTCTATTGCAAATTAATATGTTATTGTTTCTGTAATTAATAGAGTCATGTTAATATAAATATTATTAACATTTTTATATGTAACAAATTTTAGTTTGTTATTTTATTATTATATATAAAATAGTACATCAATTAATTATTTGCATAACTTTAGATTAATTACCTAAATTTAATAATTAAAATTTTACATTATTTACAGAGTTTGTTTTACAGAATTTACAGAATTTTGTTTTCCTTTTTACATGGCCTTACATGAATTTAATTATCAGCAATGTTTCTTACATTTAATGCTAATATATATATATATAGGTACACACAATTTTACAATTAATTGCCTTTCTTTCCCATTTCATTATTTTTTTTATTTATTTATTTACAATTTTTATTTATTTTTCATAGTTTGCATTTTTAATCACAGCTACTTTCTGCCTGTTATGAAGCCTCCTGTTTATTATTATTATGACTTATTTAAAAACTTAAGCTCTGAAAATTAAAGGCATCGAAAACTTCAAATTATTATGTTTGCTGTGAAATCAATAGAGGTCTCCTATTGGATACAAATCGAATCATCTGCTTTGACTGCTCTGACTAGCTTGGTAGTTCAGAGCAACTTAGATACAAACTCTTGTGTAGATGAAATGTTGTCAGGCGACATGTCTGCAGATACTTGTTTCAAGATATAGCTTTCATGTTGTCATGACATGATGACCAAACATGCGCAGTTTAGCTGAATGGCCTGCAACACCTCTCTCTTATGTGACTTACTAGAGAAGAGAAAAGAGACTGTTAGTAGCAAAGTAACGAAGGTAACCCGCTGTATACCAGCGTGATGATAAACGTGGTTCTATTTTTGTGTTAATCGTTTGTTCTTATTTTGTTTGTGTTAATAAGGTTTTTGTGTCATTAAAATGGCTGGTTTATGTAATGCCCACATTTAGTGCACTTTAAGGAAACATATATCCAGAACCCACCCAAGAAGCAGAATATGACACATGTAAATTAGGTTTAACTTGTACTTTAAAATAAAAGAATACTATTAAAAGAGGGGGGAATAACAGTAATTTTCATGTAGCCCACTCATATATAATACTTTGCATTTTCTAGAAAGATTATGATGTACCTGCAAACAGTTATTTTTACTTCTAATAAAGTATGTGCTTACACTTGAACAGTATAGTGTTCTCCATTTTTAGCAAAATCAATGCTGATATAAGGTTATATTTTGAAATTCATTAGTGCTCATTAAATCTCTGATAACAGTTAACCTTTATACATTTAAATAAACTATGAAGACACATGATTTTAATAATACTAAAATTTTACAAATTTATGAAAGTGATATCTATGCAATTTACTTTATTTCAAAATAAAAATATAAAAGGATAGTTATTAAACTACTTCACCTCGTCAATTTCCACAGAAAAATATTCATCAAGCATTGGAGCTTTAGATTTCAGTAGATCAACTACATATTGGGCTAGATCTTCTTTCGGACCATCTGCAACTGTCCATCCACTTTCTTCACTATTTAAGCCAATTATTGCTAGTTCTGATATAGGAGCTGGACTCTGAAAAAATATATAATTAAAATTTTTATATTGTTGATGTTTCTTGTTGAGAATAGACTTATTGAAATTTAAAACACATCTATGTATAAAATACACTCTATTGCAAAATATATATATATATATATATATAGTATATGCACTCAGAAAAAACTGAGCTACAACTATGAAACACGGCATGCAGCTGTGGTTTGGTGAGTTGTGTAAATGATGCAGTACAATCAGTAATAGCAATACAACAAGCATCTAAAGTGCACAGCTGGTAGAATGTAAAAAGGTAGGTGCGGCAAGTGATACCATGCTAATGGCTTGGATATAAAGTGTCGTAACGAAAGATGCCTTTAAGACATATTCAACAATGTTAAAAACAATCGTCAAACTTTGAGAGAGTTGTATCATAAGGTTAAAAAAGGTCAGTTAGTCAAATAAATGGATTGGCCAGCATATTGGTTAAAGCAATATGGTTGTTGTCTGTTGTTCAAGCCAGTGGTTCAGCGAAGGCATAGGCGGCTGCCATAGTGGCTCTGGATTTTCCCAGGCCACCAGTGAAGGAAATAAGCATGCAATTAGAAGAGTTACCACGTCCACAAGAACAATTATGCTATCATCGATTTAACATTGTTTGCCAACTTTCAGAAATCCGCAGATACAATCTACAGAAGACTAGGTGACACTAGGCTCAAATCTTGCATTAAGACACTTGCTACTAATACTCCACCATAAGCAGTGTCATCTTACATGGTGGCACTCCGACTTGCATGGGCAGTGTCTAATTGGAGAATACCTTCACTGATGAATCACCGTTTTCACTCAATGATGGTCTCCATGACGACTGCTTCATACATCTCTAGAGACAGGGAAGTAAGCTGTTCAATGTACCATTTGTTACCAAGAGGTACACAACCAGAACACAGAAACACTGGAGATCAGCTGGGATAGCCATTTACCAATAGTCATGCTGTGAAATATTCTGACTGTTTGCAGGTATGTTGATGTTGCAGCTGATCTATACTATCACAATTTTGCAAGTGTTTATACTAGCAGGTGGTCCAGGTTCTGTTTCCAGCAGGACATCAGCATACAGCATGATTTTCCCCACAGCTGGCAGAGGTGGCTTTACCACCTACTGATTTTCACATTCTTTGAATTGATACTTGCAAATAAAACGCCTTTTTTACCATAGTTTTGGATCTTTTTTTATTTACTTGAACACCATACTATTGCCGAGTTTCATAGATATGGCTCAATTCTTTTTAATTTCAATTCAATTTTTTTTAATTGCTTAGGTAAAAAAATTTCCAAGAATCTCTTACTTTAACTATTAAACAAAATATAAAGTATTAAAAAATATCTCTTACCGAAAAGCGGAAAACTCCAAAATTCCCAAAATCTTTGAGCATAAGTTGATAAAAGAGTTCTTCACTGAAAACGTAATAAGATAATTTTTAAATTTCATGGAAATAAAGCAGAATAATTCGCAAGCAGCTATAAAACTATTTCTTGGTTACCATGCTCTATTACAAGCCAACTTCGAAATACTTTAGTTACAGCAGCATTTAATATAATTCCTTCTTGATTATTAGTAACTAATTTAGAAGAAAGTCATGCTTTGCCACATATACACAGAGCCGGATTTTGACTTAATAAGCTATTTGAGATATGGGTCCCTTTATAAATCTGTTATATTATATTTTAATTTTTTTGGGGGGGGCACTAATCTATAGCTTGTGTAGCCTTATACATAAATCCTGCACTGCACACACACCACACACACACACACACACACACACACAAAAAAAAAAAAAAAAAAAAAAAAGCATAGATTTAAACATTATTTTGAATTAAAATAATCCAATAGAATGACAGATCTATAAAAAACCCATACAAAGCATAGTTAGAAAAATAAAATATTAAAACCTTCTACCCAGAAAATTAAAAAAAAAAATAAATTACCTTAATTTCTGAGTATTTGCTAAATAAAGTTTTGTATTGTGCTGAAAAAGAGCGAATTTTGGGTTGACACAGCCAACAAATATCATATTCTGTACAATTTCAAGAAGACCTGTTAAAAGAATATTGATTAAGTATAGATGGTAACTAGAATATTTACTTATACAAAGGCTGGTCAAAAAATAATGCACAATTCCATTGTAACTTAATAGAGTACAAGATAAATGAAATTTTGTAGGTTGAAACATTTGTACAACTCCATCTAACCTATAATTAATTTTTATTTTCTGTTGTTGCAAGTAAGCTACCATGGATAATCAACCCAACACCCTACTTTGCCAACAATGCAGTGGTTATATTTCTCAATGAATTCAGGGATAATTTAAATCATCAACTCACAGTAAGCTCCTGCCAATCTATGGGGGACAGTGCATTGAATCTAAGTAAGGTATGTTGATGGGGTGGTGATTACAACATAAAGGACTAGGCATGGTTAGATAGATCATTAGCTGTCATAACCAATGAAAATGCATGTCATTGAATAAATCATTGAAAAATTTGTGCACATTGGATTACTATATGGCTCTTGACAAAGATGATACAAATCAGAAAGTATATGTTTGATAACCTGCAAATTTTTCTGGATAATGTTCAGAATGCTACCATGGAGTCATCACATATGAAACCTGGCTGCTTTATTTCGATGCTGACAGCAAAAGGCAGTTAATGTCAATGAAAACATAGATGGCTGCAGAGAATACAGCAAATGAATCTGACCAGCATTTCCAAGTTTCTACCTATAAAGAACCAATGCTTTTATCTACAAAAGTTTATAATGTTTATAACAACTAACCTACAGTAGATTTTGAGTTACTTTTTGACCAACCTATGTATGTTTTATGACAAGTAACATTCTCAAAATATGTCACAAAACATGCATTTTATATGAATAAATGTTAGATGAAATTGTGTGTTAGAAGAGATAACAGTTTCAAAGAACTAACTAGATAAGTGAAAAAGCACAGAAAGCCTATCTCACTCTGAGATATTTTCATGAAGTACATTCAAAGGGAAGCTTATTTGTGTATGGAAAAATAAAAAGTAAACAAAAAATTCTAAACAATCAGGAAAAAAATAATTGAGAGCTGAAGACCAACATTTGCTTCACATAGAGTGATAAATTCAAATATTAATACTCATCATTTGAAGTTTTTTTTAAGTGTGTTTCTTACTTACATCTAAAATTATGATAACTTTACAATGACATAAAAAAACTATTCCAAATAAAATAATATTTCACACGAATTGAAACAATATAAATTTTCTACCTCTATGACACTGTTTTTCAATTTCGTTACGAAGTTCAAGAACACTGGTTAACTGAATTTCAACTCGTTCTGGCAAATTTTCAGACCTAATTATAAAAAATAAACAAGTAAATAAAATTTTTAAAAAATGATTAAAAAGTTCCATGTCTAATAATATTAATTTTAGACATCTACCGAATCTATAGCTTTTAAATAACAGAAATCATAATTGTACATAAAATCTATTATTCAATTCAGTTTCAATTCTTCCTCAACCATCCAAAAATTTACTCTTTTTCAATAACTAATATTTATTCAATTCTAAGTATATTAGAAGTTTGATACTTCTAACTACAAATGCATACGTAAATTAACTGGAGATTTTGAAAACTAAATAAAATAGGTGTGTGGAACACCCATAGAGATACTAAAATATATCTCTGTGTATTATCATTAATATTTACTATTTTAAATATTTAGACCAACACACTATATAATAATGCAAATAATGCTGCATTTTTAAACTTATTTGGGGATTTTTAAAACTTTAAAACTACTTGATAATCTTTGAATAAAGAGATTATTTTGCAAAAAGTTGATAAACAGTAAATTTTTCACCATTTAAATTGCTTACAAAAACAGAGTAATAAAAAAATGAAGCTGCATTAATTATTAATTTACATTATTTATCGGCCGTTGAAATAGTCTGATAGGTAAAAATTAGCACACTAAAAACAAAGAATGCATACATAAATATATTTAAAAAACTGTCACATAAAACTCATGTTTTATATTAAAAGTTCTGTCTTGAAAAGTACAGCAATGTACTGTTAAATAAAATTGCACAGAAAAAAAAAATTACCATGCAAGTTTACAAATCATGGATAATCCTGTTCTTCTACAAATAATCATGGTAACTTGTACCAGTAAGTGGAAATTCAAGGTTCACAATAATTCAAAAATTTATCCTATTGTGGGTTGATTGAGGATGGAGGAAAAGGATTTATTTTAAATAGCATATTTTTAATTGTACATAAATAGTAAGCAAGTTAAGAAGCTATACTATGATCAATTTTCATTTCTAAATGTGATTTTTTTTGTCTGTAGTATGTGATATGCACCTACAACTATAAAATATACTATGGTAAAAGTGAAAATACATTATTGATTACACATATTATCCATCATAGCAGTTATTCCAGATAGAAGAATAATTAAAGTTAAACTGTAATTATGCATATGTAATAATGTGTCTATAAACAAGCAAAATAACAAATTTCCTATACTGTGAAATGTTTATCATATCATGTATAATACAATAAACATGTTTCTACAGTATATATGTTGCACTAAATCCACAAATTAATTTCAAGGGCCATTTGCATACATTATAAAAGTGTTCTTTATAGCACAATCATCATAAGTGGCATAAACAAAGTTTTATTATTAGGCAACAATGCAAAATTGTAAATGACAAATAAAATACAAAACTCTTGGTCTAAATATTTATTGATATCAGGATTTTGTTCAAAATTCTTATCTATACATCAGGACTGGCATAAGGAAAAGGGCAATCAGACCAATGAAAACAAAATATGTTTTCAAGAAAGCTATTACTTGGCATCCATTATGTATTGAAAATGGAGCCCTTTTCTGTCTTATTTCTATCGAATGTTTCTTGGAAAAGGTAGCACCATCTGTTGTTGTTATCTTGTCCAAAAGTTATTTCAGAAATGCCAAATAGGACCAAAAGTATCTAAAACAGCCCTAGTGACGTAAACTAAAAGAATATAAGAGCTGGCACTCCAGGGACACAAAATACAGTTCTGAAAAGCCTGGCCAGTATGGTTGGACAGTCAAAGATGTCTGTTGAAGAAAATTCATTACCAGGTCAGTGAGGGCAGTAATTATAGCTTTGCTGGCCATCAGGGGATATTTTCATTCCTTTAAGGTGTTTTGTTCTCAGTCTGGCTACAGTAGATGAAATAATCTGGTTGCAGCTTAGCTCCAGAATAGAATTTCTGTTAACTTTTTGGGAGATGAGTCTTTGGCTGGCTGTTGCATCTGCATCAACAAAGGTTAAACTGTTGGAAAGCTGAGTACTATTTCAGGCTTCCTTGACAAGGTAGTCAGCCAGCTCATTTCCAGAAATGTTGACGTGTGTTGGAATCTACTGTAAGGTGCAGGCTTTTGGGACAGCTATTATTGTGTTCATGAGCACAACAATATCCTGGACAAGTCGAGAGTTGCCCTATTGGATCACCTAGACAGCAGATTTAGAATATGAGAAAATTATGATGCCACTGGAATTCTGAACTGTTCTGAAGTTAAAAATATCCAAAGCACCCTTGATAGCTACCAACTCGCATGTATAATTTGAGGCAATTTATCCAACAGAAATTTTAGGTCCATATCACACGGCGTTTGTTTCACACGAACAACTCTTTCCGACAATTTTTCTGCCTGGTTTACTATTGAAAGAAAGACGTGCGACTTTTTCCTTCCTTTCGAAAAAAGTTGCAAGTTGTTCGTTTTCAACCAATCAGCTATCAGCACTGAATGCTGTTAGCTTGTTTGTAATGGAGAACCAGTTTCCCCTGTGTTAACCCCAAAGCGAGCTGTGGTGATTGGCTGTTGTGACAAAGCAGAAAAATTGTTCCAAACAGTTGTTCTTTCGAAACAAACCGACATGTGATAGCAGCCTTATAGGATTCATGTTCGCCATTTGCATGTATAAAATAGATTGCCAGCACCTTCTTTATTGTGGTCAATGTCAGAGGAACCAGTTGTGTAGGTAATTGCTAGGTTACAAGCTGAATTTGCAATCATTATGGTGTGGGTGCCTTCATCTTTAAGAAGTCCAGCTAATTCCTTTTTAGTGCAAAGTTGTAAGAGTTTTAGTTGATAATTGCCTATGGAAAGGGACAGATGAAAAGTGGGGGTTCTTTAATTATGTCACTAGCTTCATGTTCTAAGCCTATTTCTCTCCTGATTTCAGAGTTGTAAGGTGGATGACTTTTTCTGTCTATTTGTCTTACTCCATGCTTTGAATGTTTTGTTGAAGAAGTGATTGTCTGCATAGCTTCGAATGTTGTTTGTGAATTTGCTGGTAGCTAAATTTCTTCTATTTTCTAAGGAGGTTAGGCCACATTCAATTTCTGCTTTAATGTTTTTTGTGGATGGAACAGCTCCAATGATGATTTTGGAGGCCCTGTATCAATGCTTTTGATCTTTTCCTTTACAGAAAGTGATGCTGGTACCCATATGGATGCAGCATATTCATGAGTGGTCCTAACAAGTGAAATAGAAGTGTTAAGAAGAGTCTTTTGTCTTGATCCTGAAGATGCACCAAATAATCTTTTTAGAATACTTAGAATTTTTAAGGCTTTGTTGGAGATTTGTTTAAGGTGTGAAAATCTTAATTCTGCATCCAGAATTAGGCCTAGGTACTTAGGATGTGAAGCATGTTTGATCTCAGAATTACATAAATTTATAATAGGATGGAAAGATTTTCTGCTTTTCCCATCAGTACAGAATATACAATAATTATTTTTATCATAATTTATATTAAGTTCTTTTGGCCAAGTTTTAATGCACTGCAAACAACTACTAAGCACCTTTGTCCAATTGCAATAATAATTAGCAATGCTGACAGTGTACCGAAGGGCCCTGGTTCGAACCCCACAGAAAGTATATATGTTTGTAAATGTATAATGTCCATTCAGTATGGGAGTGCACTCTAAATATGTAGCAAGCCGAAAGTCCCCTCGAGACGTTTGTGGTAGGGGAAGACAGGTGGGAGACCTTTGGACCCCCCCAGGTGCTCTCCATCAAGATTGAGCGAGGGCAGAACTGAATAAAGTCATACTGTTACCTGTATGGTGCTTATTGTAGGCTTCTTCTGATGTTACTGTCAGACAAGTGAGATAAATTACAACAATAGAACCTTTTGCAAAAAAGAAGTATTTGAGTGAGTGTACCAGACTGCAATGTCATCAGTAAAGCAAGCCACTCTAGCTTTCCCACTGATATGAGGATTAATGGTATTCAGGTCCAGAAGGAAGAGAAGAGGACTTAGAACAGAGCCCTGGTGGACTCCTGCTCAAGTACAATGAATTTTCAAGAAAGTGCCATTTACTTTGAATTTTTCTCTCATAGGAAGTCATTTATCCAGATAAGAGAATTGCCCAAAATACCCACACTGTGGATGATGCCAATAATTTCTTTCTCCAGACTCTGTCAAACACAGCAGAGAGATCGAGGAAGACCATGGTGAACTTCTTGTGTGGCCTTTCTTGGAATCAATCAATTGCAGGACCATTTAAAACCAAAGAGTACTGCACCAATCGTTTAAAACTGGTTTATGCAGTACACTCCTTGAACCTTGGAACTTGGGCATGATTAAGTATGCATAAGGTTCTCTTTCTCTGACTATCTGTAACTTAGACTGGTTTAACATACAGCTTTACTGGTGCATATAATTAGTATGATATTTATGCCATATGATAATGACTACTATAATGTTTACACAATAGTGTGTGTGCTCCCTATCATTACACTACCAAATCTTGAGGCTAATGCAACAACATCCTTGATAGAAACCCATAACAATACATCTCAGACTATAATGTCAGGTGATCTTAATAATCAACTGCAAAATATCAAGACTTTACCTGCAATAAAACCAGCTGACACTGAACACTGTCTCAGCCCTAAATTTTTTTACTCCAATAGTGTTATGCTAAAGATCTTGGATACAAGCCATCTCTACTTCAAGATTTGCTAAATTACGACAAACTGAAAATGCCATTAAATCACCAATATGGAATTTCCTTCATGCATACAACATAAACATCATTACCATATTACATATATCGTGATAAGCAGTTCACTGATAAAACACTGGTAATTTTCTGTAATATAAGTAAAACTTTGATATTTGTGCTGTCCAAAATAGCTAGTAGTTTCTTTATCGAAAATAGTAATCAGCTGTCAAAAATAATTTCATTTTATTTTAATCAAACCATAAGAACAAGTCTCATAAATTACTCAAAAAATGCATAATGAAACCCTTCAACATGAAAAATATATCACAATGAAAAGGTGAATTAACATTCAATAAGTTAAAAACATCAATTTTGAATTGCAAATTAAAACCTTCAATACTGAAAATATTTTTTATTGCACTCACCCTTCATTAATCACAACTTCACTTGATGAAGAAGAGACATTTTGCATTTTGAAAAAAGCATCTAATTTTTGTTCTTTACTGTCTGTCCTGACAAGTTGATGATCATACACTTTCTTTTCCTTTGCAGAGTCACTTTCATTAAGTGAATGTTTCACTGATTCATCTGAGGAAGTTGGAACACCAGGTAACAATGTCTGAAATAAAACAGAATATAAGTAGAATAAAACACAACTTATATGTTAATAAAAATAAAAATAGAAAATTATAACACCATGTAAAATAAAGAAACTGTTGTCAATTTTAAAATCTCTACACTTGTTTCATGCAAAACATGATTTGAAATAAAAGTTCTGTTATTATTAACATGTTGATTGCCACACTTAATTTCAGGATCTTCAAGCCAGTTTGAGTTAACCATATTATATTATTCAAAATTTTAATTCCACATGATTAAAGTTTAAAAACGAAAAAGGAAGACTGGAAGACTTTCATTATTTACAGAGTATACCAGCCATCTCTCTTCCCATCAAAAAAGGGAAAAAAACAGTGTACTACAAAGCAATATTAAATTTGTACCTAAGCTAATAAATGCCAAAAAAATATATTATTTCTGTCCAATTTGTAAAGCGAAACCAGCCTTTTTTTGAAGAAGATTGTTTTAAAAATATTACAACAATAATAATTTTAGCTTCTCAACTTTTACTTATAATATAATATTGAATAAATAATATAATAATATTGAAATCAATATGTTTACATTTCCTCTGTTTATTAATAAATGTTCAGTTCATGTAAGTCATCTCTCCCCAAAACCAACTTTTATTATCGACACTTACAGTTTATGAATATAAACACAGCTGCACAAAAATGACATAGCACTAAGATTTATCATGTAGTCCAGGCATGTAAAACTCAAATGCTATCATGGGCAAAATAAAATAGTTTAAGTTCATGTAAGTAGAAAAAATTTTGATTTTTATAGAAATAAAGGTTTATTTCAAGAAATAAAAAGGAAGTTTTCTTCCTGATGCTTGGCATCTCTTCTTTGCTACCATCTTTCCTACTTCAGGAGAAATCTTGTTCACAGTGATTACTTTCAAAACTGACATAAAGTGAATGTCTGTAATTCTGGATCTGATAGGAAACTTATTTCCTTTTACAAATATAAATAACTGCTTGAACCAATTAGCACTTAATCCCCGTTCACAAGAGCAGATTCGAACGGTAGCGAAAACCGGTTCCTTCCAACATGTCCCGTTCACATGGGACAAGCATTAACTACCTCGCTGAATTGGAGGTAGAACTTGGTTTAATGTTCCTTACCTCTCGGGAGCAGGGTAAATGGGGAGATTTCCCGTGTTCTGCGCGGTTCACTTAATTTTAGTTACTGCTCGCTGGACTGTCAGCGAAACAATCGCGCTGATAGATGTCTGGGGATGCTGTCGCATCCCCCCAAAAATTAGATAGAACTGTACAAGATAAGGAAATTATAGACAATACAGACAAGGCTATCTGATTCTAGGTATTCCAGAAATATCGTTCAAATTAAAATTAAAGTTAAGACAAGTGCATATCGGCTTCAACGCGACAAGGGACTCGGTACCTTTTGAATGATTTTTTTTTAAATAAATTAAGCATTTTCATCTACTTTTTATGAATATTATTAAATGGTTTTGTGAAACAAAATAATTTTAATCTGAAAAAATGTTTTTGCTTGTATTTTTTTTAATTTAAATTTTTGAAGAAAAATTTTATAATTAAAATGTCTTTCTTCTCCTACAATTTTCAACAACTCCCCCCAGGTTTTTTATTGTATTTATTAGTGTTCTTAATAACTTCAAGGAATTATTTTGCAATTAATGAATTAATTTCTGGGGGAAAAAATACACTTTTATCTAAAATCTTTAAAACAAATATGATCTCAGTCACATTTTCATTTCAAATAATTTTTTCCTTTCAGTATTTTGCAAAACACGTCCTTGTTTCTATAAAGTATATAATTTTAAATAAGCAGTAAAAATAATAAAAAAATTAGTCCATACCTGTATATGTTTTAGGACTTTAAGTAAAAGGATTTATTGAAAAAAAATGCAAAAGGTTTCTGAGTTTGCATTTGCAGTTTAAAGAATACAAACTGTCTAAATAGACATTTAATCATTTCAAATTTTTAAAATTTTATTACTGAAATTTCAATACACACATATGTATATAAATCAAACTAGTGCTATTTATTCAATTGGTACAATATAAACATAAATTACATACCTTTTTTTAAACCTTATATGGCCAGAAAAATTGCAAAAACTCATAAAACGTAAGCATAATTTTTCTTTACCTGTTTTTGTTTTGTAAAACACGTTCAAAACCAATTTTAATACATTAATTAATTATAATATTGTTGCGTGCGTACGGGTTTGTAATAGATTGATAATAGTTCGTAAATGATTGTTATTGCACTCAAATCCGATGATAGCTTAATTAAATTTATTTTATCAGCATAAACACTTCAAAGTTCTGGAATTTTCCACAGAAATACTCGTACAAGTGTTTAGAATATCACTAAGTATAATCAGTAGTTATGCTTCAATTTAATGAGAACGTTAAACACAACAGAATGCAAAACGCATCTTAAGAGAAAGTTAACTCGGAAATATTTCCAATCTCACGCTGAACTAACAACTGGTAACAATAACAACTTATATAGCATAAATAATGTCATAAAAATAGTGTGGTATAATGAGATTATTACTTTGAAACCGATGTTTCGAATTGATGCCCAAGAAGAACCAATATTTCCCATTCTGCTTCATTGCATATCTTTCAAAAAAAGTAAAAAAATCATCCAATTAATTTCCTTTATCATTTTTTTTAAATGCAAAAAGTTTGTTTTATAAGCTGTGAAAATGTCGGGAAGTTTGTGAACCGATATTTTTTTTAGATATGAAATTTTAAAATTAATGGGCGTCAAAAAGTCTAAAAATATGAACGATTTTCAAAAATTCTTCCCAAAATATTTTTAAAAAAATTACGCTAAAAATTTCATTTAATTTTTGTTTCCTTCCATAGTGTATGTACAAATTTGTGTTATGGTGCAAACTATAATATTCTGAGATTCTCAGTTTATTTGTTAATATTTGCAAAATAGTCGTTTCAAGCTTTAAATTTGAAAAGAATCTAATCCTCTAAAAATCAAAAGCGTGACACCACATCCACAAGCAGTGTATGTACAAAGTTTGAATTCTATATCTTATCGGAAAGCAGTTTAAAAATCCATTACCATCTTTTAACCATAGCGACAAGGACCAAGAGTGAACTAAATAACAGCTTATAAAATAATAATAATTAAAAAGCATATATTTTTCAGGAACCATTACGAAAGTTCAGGTACCAGTTGCGAAAGTACAGATTACAAAATTAACAACAGTAAACCACGTTAAAAATGTGTAAACAGTATTAGAAATCTGCCGATTCGGAGACGTGATTGTTCACAGAGGCTTTAGGTGTAAAGGGGAAGGAAAACGGTGGTCTTCTCAACGGGTCCTAAAGACGAAACTCTTTCATGTCTCCTTTTTCTCCCCTTGCTAACGGCAGCTATGCGAAGGAGCGTTGCATGTGAACGGGGCTTTACAAACCTGGAAATAATGTCATATGCAAATTTTTTACAATTTTCAAACCTGGGCAAATATTTGTAAAATTTAGGCACTCCAAGTTTACTCGATTTTGCCTTCAATTCTAAATCATCCTGGATCTGGATTATCTTCATTTGCATGTGATTAATTACAGCACAAAGTTCAAAATTTGGAATTGTCAAGATTTTGGCAATTCTGGATTTTTATTGGATTTTAGATCTGGTTTTTCTGGATTTCAGATTTTAGATCAACAGTTTAAATCTATAAGATGACAAGTATAAATTATAGAATTAAAATATAGAATAGTTAAACAACTATTCTATATTTTTAATTCCATAATGAAAAAAATGAAGCATTTATGACTTTAAGAGGATCAAAATTTATAAAGAAAAAGCTTAAAATTTCTTTGTTTTATAAAATATTTCTTTTGTAAATTATTTACGCTTATTTTCCCCTTACTTTTTCTATATTTTACAGACAGACATAATTTACTGTTCAGTTAGAAAGCTCCATTGTTCAAGTTTTGTAATTACTGCCATGTCGAATATTCCTACTAAACTTTCAATTTAAATACTCACATTCTTAAAAATCTTTTTTTACTTTCATCACTATCAGTAGCAATATGTTCTGGGTTTAAAAGCATACTACATATTTTGCTGTCTGCTCGTTGATTGCTAATTGGGATGTTGCCATTGCAATAAAAAACTTCTATCAATCATTTTCATTTATTATCACTTCTCTACATTGTGTCACAAATTCCATGAGCTGGAAAATTTCCTCTTCTATAGCATTCAAAATCGATGCCAAAATAAGGCTGCTGTTTTGTCAAATTTTACAATAGCACTTTCAAGTCCAAATTTTTACTATTTTCTTGCACCAGGTCACTATACAAGACAAGTACTAAATATACTTTCACTTTGCAGATCCTACTACAGTCAAAAGTCGTTAATCCGGACTCGTCGTTACTTCGGTGATTCTGGATTATCGATTTTTCCGGATTATAGATTATCAGTTTAAATCTGGTAAGATGGCATGCAGAAATTATAAAATTAAAAATATGAAACCATAATTTACAAAAAAAAACAATTATGATCTAGAGTGTATCAAAATTTACAAAAAAAAAAAAAAAGCTTAATATTTATTTGTTTACTTTACTAAACATTTCTTTCAATGTAAGTTGTTTTAAGTTGCTTCGTTTTTTATGTGATAATACATTCTCTTTAATTCTATAAACAGACACAATATTTCTTGTTCAGTTACAAAGTTCCGCTGTTCAAGTCCTATAATTGCTGTGTCGAGAATACCGACTAATTTGTCAAACGAAATATTTTTGTTTTCAATAACCTCTGTCACTTTCTTTGCTATCGGAAGCGAATTATAATGACGAGGCATTTGATTTAAATCATATCAAAGACGGAGTACATCGAAATGAAATACTACATTTAGTAAGCAATTATAAGCCAAATAAAATAAAAACATCTGCCCTGAAGATAAGGATAGTGCTGACAGATCAACTTCCAATTAATTGCGTGCGCCACAGCGTTAAAGATAAGCTAAGTTTAGATAAACAAACGTTAATGTTTAGATAAACAAAGGATATGCCTTTATCCATTTTTTGCAGCAATTCCACTTTTTGTTCAATGGACTTCGAAACATACTTTCGCTTTGTAGATCCTTTACCTATTAGTAAATATATATCAGAAATTCTATTTGACATAATCAAAAGTTCATGCTTACTTTTATAAAATTCCTCTAACAGTCTGCAAAAAATAATAAGCCGAATCCAATTCGAAGATTAAGGAACAACGCAATCTGCAACATTAACTGAATTAGATAATTTTAGCTTAGCTTATACCTTCCGTTATACATTAAACGCTCATGTGTAAACGTATTTTCGCAGCCGTAAAGGTCTTACGCGCATGCGTCAACGCCACACATGCGCAGAAAGTTTGTAGCTTTGAGGTCCGGATTATAGATCATTCCGGATTATGGGTGTCCGAATTAACGACTTTTGACTGTATAGCACCATACTTAGAAAGCCTTTTTGACATAATCATAAATTTAAAATTTGATTTTAATAACATAGCTGTAATAACTACAGCTACTTACTGAAAGTCTGTAAGTGGTCATGGCTAAGTCTTGGCTAAGTCTGGTCATGGCTAACATCAGTCAAAGCACTGTCATTGACCATAGTGATTCCTAGCCAGCACGTGCTAGAAAATAATATACAGGCATCTCATTTAGTGAGGAAAAAAATTTTTTTATCACACACCTGGCTTTTTCTGGGGGTATTATATTCTGTATTTCTAAATTTCACACGGAGGGAGATGACAGTCCTGGTATGGGATGTCCATTATATTCTATATTTATCAGGATTATCGAAGAAACAAAAAAAAAAAAAAAAAAAAAAACTTCTAAAGACCTAAAATCTTCAAACTTTGTTTCAAATTCAACTCTTAAACGTGAAATTTTTTTCGTGTATTTTTGATACGATGCAGTTTCACTTAAGCTTGATTTGCTCATGTTGCATGTTGCAAAGTGCATTGTCTTTGATTTTCAATTTCATTTTTCAAGTCAGTTAACTTTCTTATATTTGAATGCTTTAACTTGGACATACATGTTTGTAATGATCGAAAGACATTCCCTGAAAAATTAAAAAATTGGATAAGTATTTTGTTCTTTTGATCATAAAGGACAAATCTTGCAACCATACTGGTTTAGAAAACAAATCTGTGTTATGAAATTTTGCTATTAAAAACTGGCATTCTTCTTCTTTCAAGTCCCAGAATCATTTAAGAACCTTGCAGCAGGATAGCCAACATATCTCGATAGCGCAGCCGGGACAAGGGTGAGGCTCTAGCCTCAAGTGAATGACTAACAGAAGTGTCAAATTAGCTATGAAAATTTAGAAATTTGTTTAAAAAATTAATGATTCTTATCTTTCAAATGCATAAAAAAATATCAAAAGAATTTTATGTTATAAACAATCCAGCTGAATTATGCAAAACATTAATAATATTAATTTAATCTTAAATGTGTTGGAGTTTCACAGCAATGTAAGCAGTTTCATAACATTAAAATTTATTATTGGGAAAAAATATTTACACTTGTTCTGATGAGCTGCATAAACTAAGCTTCCAAGAAACCCAAATGCTACTCACATTAATAATTACCTGCTATCTCGCTTTAATTTACATTTTAAAACTTAATTCATCATAATAAGCTTTCCAAAGTCCACTAATTGAATTGTAATAACATCAGAAGACTAAACGAAAAAGTTGAAAATTATATGTACCACACGATAAGTCTTTTGCTTCATTTCTTACGTAATATTCTCTGTTAAATAAAGTTCAACATGGTTCAAGATTTTTTTTCTTGCTGCATTCATATTTAATTTATGCTGAAATTGCTCTATTAGTTCATTCATAGTTATTTTTGGATTAATTACACATGTTGTAGGATAAATTGAGTGAATCAACACGCTAGTCTGTCTCATTTTTTTTTAGACTGATATGCAATTATATAAAGAAGATATGGCCTCTTTCTCTCTTTTTTTCTTTGAAGTGTTTTATTTTTTTAAATGAAACAATACTTTTGTTTTGTTTTGTTTTGTTTTGTTTAGCCTTTAAAAAAATTTTAAAAATAAATAAAACCCAAAGGTTTAAAATCATGAATTTACCATGGAGATTTAGGGCAAATTTATCTAGTTAAATCGAATATAATTGATAATAATGTAAAAACATTTTTAATATCATTCTTTTGATTCTAAAACTGATGCAAAAGTATATTTTTAAGAAATCTGTTCTTCATAATGAAATTCCAAGAGATACACAGTTTTAAGAAAAATGAAATACGAAGGAAATAGAAATAAATAAACACAATTTTAAGAATGTGAGCTACGTTTTCAGTACATAGAGTTTGATTTTTTAAAAAACTGAAATTCAAACATCAAAATCAATTTAACATATAAGTTCCTTACAGGAAACTAAAAAATTAAAATTGTTTAGCACAGAGAATCCTGTTTCAAAAACTGAAATTAAAACATCAAAATCAATTTAGTACATAAAAGATGAATGATGGCTGAATTAAAGCATAAAGCATTAATTAATACTATTAATTATAAAAATATGCTTTACATTCTAAGCATTATAAGACTATGATGCCTGTGATAACATATAAAAATATTATCTGACAACGAATCTATTAGCTATATTCAATTAGATGTATCGCATAAAATAGTATTCTAATTAGGCCTTTCCTTAGTAAAAGAATTATGCCTTTCTTAATGAGAATATTAAAGATTACTAACATTGATTAACCAGCAATGGCCACAAGGGCTATCTGCTTTTTAAGAAGACTGCTTTCATGAAGGATTTTTCTAGAGAAACTGGCTCCTGTTCAAATTAATCAGATTTCCCAGGAAAATTACACACAGTTAAACAATTTGACAAGAATTGTACCAGAACAAGCTACCAGTGTTCAACACCATATCAAGCAGATTATATTATTTTTTAACTTCACAGCAAAAATATTCCAATTCCTGCTTTTCATGGAAATTTCAAAGTTTGTCAGGAACTTTTCATTTAGACTTATGACTATCTGATTCCGATAGAAACATACTAAATGCATATGCATAAAATAGATGAGTAATCATTAACATAAAATAATAAGAAGACTTGATGAAGAATCTGTCCTCCCAGCAAAAGTTGTGACATGCAGCAATAATTAAGCAAAACATATTTCATGTGATTCGCATGATTGTGGTGAATCATGATATGAGAGGCAGCAAGGAAAGTTGGATTTAAAATAATTTTAATAGCAGAAGCAGTAGTAATCAAAGCAACTTGCTTCATGGAATCCTTAGGGGCAGAGTACTTGGGGTAAGTATTATTATTGGCTACTAAAATATTTGTAAGTGGTTATAGGTGGGGAAAATAGCAGCAAGACTAGTAATAAAACTAGTAATAGACTCCATGCAATAAGACTAGTAATGTGTAAATAAAAATTTTTTAAATTATTTTATGAAATTCTCATTAAAACTTTCTTTTACATAGAGTCATACTGAGTGGGTCACAAGTGATCACATTGTGGGCCATAAGTTTGGCATGCATAAATGATATAACCAATGCCATGGACAAGAACACAAACTACACGTTACCCTGTAGTTTGCACTTAATGTGTTAATAAACAATAATATTCATTTAATGCAGCAATCCAAATATTCAAAATGCATGAACTTTCTGCATGATAATTTATAAAGCCACATTTTATAAATTATCGTGCTTAAGACATAGAAAATTTAAAACTATTACTTGAATTAAACATATTTTAAGTAAAATGAATACTTTTATGTCTATTTTAGTAGCAGAATTCAAATCCAAATACCTGAGTCAAAAAAGATCGAGAAATATTCGAACCCAATAATTTAGAATCAACTGCCTGCTGTATTTTTTCAAATATTTCTGCTTCATTTAGGAAACGAACTTCATGTTTTGTAGGATGAACATTTACATCCACATTCTGAGAAACGATTTCTAGACTGAATAAAATTTTAATTATTTTAATGTTGTGTTAAGAATAAGCAAATTGCAAAAAAAAATAGATAAATAGAAAAAGAAAAAAACATAATTGCTTATGAGTCACTACTTATAAAATGTAAACAAATAATATATTACATAATTAATAAACTATATCCTAATATAAGAAGATTTATGATAGACAGAATCTTAGTGTCTTAATTATTTACAAAATGCAATCCAATTAAATTAATACATGGTTACAAGTTCAATAATTAAGTTTTTCTGTTTTAAATAAACAAATAAGTTTCTATAGTGTTAATTGGTAATAAAGTAATAATAGCAGAGCAATTTTTCCCCTACCATTTGTTTTCACAATTTTGAACAACTCATTTTAGATTTAAGATTTTCTATCCTACACCTTTAATTTCTGAAAGACTTCTTTAACTTGTAGGCTTAGCATTAAAACTAAGCTTAAAATTGTTTCAGGTGTTAAACTGAAATCTAAATACCAAGATCAGACTGAAATTTCTTTTTAGGTTCTACATTTTTTATATTTTACTTTTTTAAATGATTATTAAGATTTTAAAACATTGGACGAAAAGGACTATAAAGAAGTTTTTAGATTTTTTTTTTTTTTTTTTCTTTAGCTATTTATTCATTTTAGCAAATAAAAAGCATATTTCACCTCTAATCATAGATTTATTCTTAAATGATTGAACACAAGATTTCTCTTAGATAATTTATACTACAATTGGAGAATAAAGATTCAACAGAATTATACATTTAACATAAAAATTTATCATTTCTCTTAATCTGAAGTCCATACATCTTTAATTTAAACAAAGTTAAAGTTTTAATCAGATCTGAAAGATTAAAATTATGTACTAATAAAGATAAGTAAGCAAATTTCACTTGCTTTTAATTATTAATTTTACTCTTTTTATACTTAGATTTGAAATAAATAAATAAAACACTGCCAAAATGTCACATATTCACTTAAAATTTTTTGCTCATCAGAAATGGTTAAATAATAGCTATAAACCATTACATGTTGAACATAGAAGAAAGAGTAATTCTTTATATACAGAATGCATTCTGATTTAAAAAAAAAAAAAAATCCATGATTTTATTAAAAAGATTTTGCCACTTTGGCTTTGTTGCAAACGCTGTGACAAAGCACACAAGGGTAATCTGACTTAACCCTTAGCAAACCAAAGTCTTAGTTAACCTGTATGCTTTTAAAATAGCGAATTGACTATCCCTGTTCATTAATTGTCCCATCCGTTTCCTCCCCTACTTCTCCATTAATGCATAATGGGTTATGAAGATTTCAAATGACATCTTTTCTACTTCCTAACAAAGAAGCTTCCATTAACCTTTTAGGACAAGTTTTATGCAATAAACTGATGGAAAGCATTTTGGAAAACTGCACCTGCTACTGCATAATTTAGGGAGAGGGAAGAAAACACACTCGCAATATCAGCCATTTCTAGCATTTGTGGTCATTTGAATAAAAGGCCATCTCAGGCATTTTGGCCTTTGAAGAGTAAGGACATGCAAGGGCAATCTGACTTAAGGAAGCCTTCTGGAAAGTTTTCTGTGGGAATGTGGCTCATATGCATACTTTACATAAAGAAAACTACAGAAATCTCATACTGCCAGTCTGCTAAGCTCAGAATCAAACTACTAGAATTCAGCATTTTTTTTTTTACTTAGCCCCTCAATCGGCTCTTCTGTTGAAAAGCTCAGAGTATTTGTAAGATAATTCTTATTCAATATTAGATATATACCACCTCTATTAAAGCTACTGATAACATAATTTTATTCATTTTCATATTTTCTACATCATTAATCTAGTCAAGGAGGAAAATACAACTATTATGAAGAATAAATGCTAAATAGTTTTTTTTTTTTTTTGGGGGGGGGGGGGGGGAAGTTTTCATCTAATTAAGGAACAAACTCATCTATAAAGTGTGAAATTCTTATTATTTGAGAGCACTGATTTGTACTTTCTTTTACTTCCTTAACTTTTTGAAAAATGTTTATATTTCCTTTGATTTTAATTTAAGTTTTCTATTGCAAAAGTATTAGAAATTGAAGCATAGATAAAATACTTTTAGTATAAAATGTCCTATTAAGTTATACATGTATTTATATTTATAGTAATTACACTATAACTAAAAAGTATTTGATAAATTAAAATGTAACCAAACCTGAGGTATATAAATGGATGCATATTTTTTGGTAAATACGCAGAATATACAGATTCAATAGCTTTTCTCATAGCAGAGCTATCCACTAAACGATCTAGAAAGAAAAATATACTCATTGAGATGCTAAATACTAATAATTTAGTAATGTTGTCAAAAATATGAAAATCAGTTTCATAACTAGTAATAATAAATTTTTATGCATATCACTTGGCAAACAATAAAAGCTGTCGATTTCATATCGAAATGTTTAAAAAATTAAGTGTAAAATTAAATTATAGGTGTTTACTTTCATTCTCGCAGCAGATTGAAATTACGTGTTTACTTAACTATTTATCTGCCATCATCAGTTACAGATAGAATTTTATTAACTTTTAGCATTTTCTTTCTCATTAAATTAGTCAAACGGGGAAATAACTATTACAAGGAATAGCCTAAACAGTCTAAACAACCATTTTTTGATATATTCCCATCTAGTTAGAGAACAAGCTCTTAAAAATATTTCATACATACTTTTTTTACTAAAGAACATTATAAATCTGATCTCTAAAATGTTATTAAATAATTACCAAGTTAATTCTTATGCATTTTTAGGGATCTACTCTTATATACGCCCTCACTTGGTAACAATATTCTCAACAAATATTTTTGTGCCATATTACTATCTAAATTTTTTGTCTACATTTCGAACTTTAAGCCTAAAATGTCCCAAAAAATGTGGTTTCCGCACATGTAAAAACCACATTTTGAACGCACAATTTAAGCTAAAAATACAAAACACAAAATTTAGATAAGAAAAACGTAAAGTTTCTAACCAAAAACATTTGACAAGAACCCATTTCAAAATGCGCACGACATGAACCAACGAGCAATTAAACCACTGCAGCAAAAGAGTTAAGTTTCAACGTTAAAAGGGTTGCCATACAAACAACATTGTCCCCAAAACCATCGCACAGCACGCAATCGCTCCAAAAACCAATGAGGAACACATATTGCTACATTTGGTGATCTTAGGGGCGTATATAAGAATAGAGCCATTTTTAGAGTTATACAGTTTTCACATCACAAAATTTAAATGACAAAAATGCCAAAAATCATTTACTAAAAATAAATACTAAAAATTCATTTCCATTATTTACTATACAATAGACTCTTTTAAAAACTACTTTCATTTAAGCAGTAACTGAAATATATTAATTACTATAAAAATTTGAAAAATAATTAATTTAAATATTTTTATGAATGTTCCAAATAGAGTCATTGTTAGAATTAATTACACCTTTTCTGAAGTCAATAATAAATTCAAAGTACTAAGCATAAATATTAAAAATCAAATTTTATTTCATAAACGAATTCTCTTTTCATTAGTTTTATTTATTTCTATATCATTATTATATTATATTTCTGTCTGAAAATTAAAAATATTTTTCTCTTGATGATTAACTTAGGAGCATTTAAAAATACAGTAAATTAGATTATTTTATATACACAGGTAGAGATATTAATAAAATTTCTTAAGGTTTCAAAACCTGCTATTCATAATTTTAACAAGTTTATGCTTAGCCATCTAGCAAAATGAGATGGCTACATAGAGTTTTCACATATAAAATGAATGCAAACTATTTTTACACTCCATGTATAAAATGAATACAAGATGGCTTCTCTAAAAAAATGCTTCATAAAGGCATCTGTCCTTTGGCAGATGGCCTTAATACATTTAAGATAAAATTTTGAACAACATATATAATAAGCAAATGATTCGAATAGGAGCTGTACGAAATCTGAAATCTAACTGAATTATAATTATTAAAATTGAGAGTTATGCATATGGAAAATTAATAACATTTCCATTAATAATGCTCCTATTGCAAATGTGTCTTTGTTGTTGTTGTTATTGTTACAAAAAACTATTGCTATATTTTAAATACTTACCATTTGCTAAACAATGTTTTAATAAATGATGATTCTAATAAATCACTGTTTTTTAATATTCTGCATAGACCATAATTACCCAGTATTTAGCTGGCGATATGGTGACATTTTTTTTAAATGATAAATAGCTGACATATTTTTTTTTGACAATATGGCACTGCATAAACTACCACTGCACTAAGATTTTGGCAAGATCATATTCAAAACATGGGACAAATTCAACAAAACATTCCTTTTTTGTGAGTGATTCTAAAGTTAGACAAAAATAGCATAATTTGCAACTGTTTATTATTATTGCAGTTATGACTATTATGACATAGTCTATAGCTATGTGATGCACTACCATATACACCAGCACTGCATCATTATTCTGGCAAGGTCATACTCAAAACTTAGAATAAATTCAACAGATTCAACAGCCTTTCTGTGAGCGATTTTGAAGTTGGATACGCATCAAGAAATATGCGGTTATTTTAATATTATTGTTGTGTTTATGCACTTTTAATCACCTGTTCAATGTTAAATTTTGCTTAATTCTGAAGATACCATACTTTTTTTTTTTCATCTGTCATAACTTAACTTTACAATTATGACACTTTAAGTTGAAAATACATCTAAACTTTCTTTTACAATTAAGACTAAATCTTTTTACCTTAAATACATTTTCTTCAAAAATCCTTATACATCCTTTTTTTAATACTTTTATATTTCCAAAATAAGCAACTGGAATATAAAAATCATTTTCTTCAAGTCTTTTTCTTTAACATTTGTTCCTTTCTCTTTTCCTAAAAATTATTCCTTTTGAATTCCTAATATGCTTTTTAAAATTATTTCAGCATGCGTAAAATATGCATTTAAATTATATAGGTCTCAAAAGCATAAATATTACAACCTATCATGTCAAATTAAAGTAATAATAGAATTATTTCATACTTTTACACATGCTTTCAATTACAAAAAAATTTAACTGCAAATCATTAAAACACAAAATCCTACTTAAATTATTACTTAAATTATATGGATACACTTAAAACAAACATAATTTTAATTTCAAAACAAAAAAATATCATGCTTATAAGAACAAGGGGAGGAAAGAAATGGTGTTACAATATAGCTATTTATTATACTCACTATTAATAAATAAAAGAAATGTACACTTCTTAACAGAATAATTAGCATTAAATACGAGTCCTTTTGCTTTAAATTGTAACTTAGAATCCTCAAATTCAAGATCCATAAGTTCCCTGAAATATAATTAATTTAATAACAATTATATTTAATTTAGCAGCAACAACAAATAAATATGATAACACAAATAATCAACATGCTTTATGTAAACAACAATTAAGTCTTGATAAGCCAGTTTTGTTTTTGCAAAGAAAAGAGATTGAAGGTTATTACTGATTTTCTTCCCATTGAAAAACAATTAAAATTTGAGATCTGCCTTCTGTAAAGCATGCAGTGACTATTTTCAAAGTTTCAAAATTCTGAAATTTAAAAAAAAAAAAAAAAAAAAAAAAGTGTTAAAACTATGCAACTTTATTTGAAAATAGATAATAAAACATGAAAAATTATGAGAATGATTTAAGATTTTTAGAAGCTATATCCATAACTTGCACCTGTTGATTACATAGCTAAATAAAAAGCAGTCTGATATTTTAAACTTATGTTTGTATGGTTGGCACAAGTTTGAGAAAATCTTTGACAAATTTTATAGTTGATGGAATTTTGTAATCAGATATTTTACTTTCACATGTTTTAGACCTAAGAAAATACATCAGCTTGTACATCTGAAATAGATTTTTTGCAAAATCTTACATAATTTTAAATGAAGACATTTGATATCATATAAATGATTTATAATTTTAGACTGATTTTTTTTCTTTCATTCATTTAGGTTTATTACCAATTATCATATTTTTTACAGCTCAACAATCCGGAATTTTCACATATCCAACCTTCAGCATTTCTTGAACTTCCTGGATAGTTGAGCTTTTACTGCATACAGAAATGGTAACATTAAATTTTAATAAAATTTGTCAATATGAAACATTTAGTTTGACTCATCAAAAGTTTCAAATTATCATCAACTTTTCTATAAACTGATTAAGTTTTTTTTCAAGCTAAATTCATATTTTTGCATTATGTGATTCTGAGCAAGATATTACCTGGCAACGTTAACACCATAAATGCTACGGATGTTTTCTCGAGTGGTTGCATTTGCAAGAGTTTGAACATCACTGGTACTCTCACCATACTAAGAAATTTGGAAAGCTAAAATCAGTTACAGATAAACTGACACAGAGTTTGAAATTTTATAATGATTTCAAAATTTAAAATTTAGAAAAAAATGTTTAGAAAATATTTTAAATGCATATATCTCTCCTTAATAAAATATATGGATTCTAACCTTTTTCAAAGAAAATGATATACCAGAATTATGGATTGCATATCGACTAACAACCTCAGCAATCTTCCCATATTCTTCTGAAGCATTCTTTAATGCATTTTTCCGTACACTCATATTATAAAAAAGATCTTCAACCTATAAAAGTAAATAAACAAAATCCATTTCTCAAATTTATTATCAAATAAAAATTCATTACACTTATGCACTTTCATCTACTTAATCACTGAAAATGTATGCACATTATGCATGCTGCATATGTATGTAGTGCACATTGTCTGATGTATTGATAATAAAATATTAGACAGCATATTAGAGATTTTTTATGAATAATTCATTGTGTTTTTTAATTTAATCTTATATTTAAATTAATCGAATTCTTTTAGAATATTCCTCTTTTAATTCAATAATGTGTGTATTCTCACTAAATTGCATTATCACACATGTTTCTAATTTCATTGGCAAATGAAGATTTTATTAATTTCTTTTTTTTTTTTTATTTTAAAAACTACTCTATATATGTCTTCACTTGCCGACAAATTTCTCGCTGTGCCATATTACTATCTAACTTTTCTGTCTGCATTTTGAACTTTAAGCCTAAAATGTCTCCAAAAACGAAGTATTCGCACATGCAAAAACCACGTTTTGAACACAAAAATTTAGATAGCAAAAACGTAAAGTTTCTAATCAAAAATATTTGACAAGAATCCATGTGCAAAGTGATATGTTTTCACTTAAAAATCTACGAATTACGAAGGAATCTACGAACTACGCACACCTCCCTTTAATAAATTAACATAACAACAATAAATTTCAAAGAATACCATGTATACAACATTCTGTTTAAACTTAAAGAAACATCTACGAACTGCACAATCTAGGCATCGCACAAATCAAGAAAATGAACTAAAATAAATTACAAACGATTCAAAAAACAACAATAACAACAGAAATTCATAGTAAAAAAAAAAAAAACAATGAACATAACATTCTACAAAATAAAAACAATAAAATGAAATGCACTTAGCATAATACGTGAATAAAATTTTGCCAGTCACACACGTTTCTGAACAAGCGCCCGATTTTTCTATAACATGTATTTATGCGATTCAAAATTTCGAAAGTAAAACGACAAAACTTCCTCCAAAGTTAATACTACACAAAAACCATGATCCAAATCTTAAACTCCGCTGACAGCCACATACTTTAACAGCAACCAATTGACTGCAAACCCACACAAGTCTATCAGAAACACCATTCTTCGTCCGAGTTCTCTTATCAGCTCAGAATTTCGGACACGCAAAACTTCGTTTTAAAAGTCCTGACTCCCACAGAAATTCCAAAAATACACTTTGATTTGCATAAACACACCCATGAACAAAAGACTTGTTTATAACTCCAACACCGTACCTTTTAACACTAAATTTACTTTCCACATAATCTAAAATCTTGCCACCACGTCTCTCATTGCAACATAGGCCATTTCAAAACACGCATGACACGACCCAACGAGCAATTAAACACTGTAGCAAAAGAGTTAAGTTTCAACGTCAAAAGGGGTTGCCATACAAGCAGCATAATCCCCAAAACCATTGCACTGCACGCAATCATGCCAAAAACCAGCACGAAACACATATCACCACATTTGGTGATCTTAAGGCGTATATAAGAGTAGACACTTTTATTTTTTTATAAACTAAAGAAAGTTATTAATAAAATATATTATGAATTATCCAACACAGATATTATAAATCATCCAACAGCTTTATTTAAAGGCCTAATATTTGCTTTCATGCAGAGATTTAAGACAAAACAGGAAAATAATTCAATTTTAGATATTGGATGCATGTTAAAATGTAACTCTTGCTTTTGCTTAAGTCTATTTTACAAGTTAATCTAAATTCAATAATATAAAAGATTTTAAATAATCACATAAATAAAAATAAATAAATAATTTTTAATTTAATAAATACTTTTAAATAATCACAGAAGAAACCAAATTTAAATACATATTAACTGGTCAAACATCTAATTTCCCTTTACTGATGCAATTTGATTAAAAGAAGTTTCTAAACTTTTATTTTGCATTATAATGCAAGACATTTGCAATAGCTCTCAGAATCTAAGTAGTGACTTAGCAGTGCATAAGGAAAGAAATTTTGGTTAGTTGCAAAATGTTTTGAAGCAATCTTTTGCTTATAATGTAATTTATATGTTTACCTGTAATTATGAATTTATTTATAATTGCCAAGTAACAGTTAATAATTTGTAGGGTCTCCTTGTCTAACTTCTATGTGAGAGCTGTAAGAATAGTAACTGCACAGGAGAAGGGTTAAAAGTACCCTTTATTACCTCTTTAAAATTTGCAATGCGTCAACTCGATTATTAACACACTACACCTTCCTTGGGTGTTAACTGAAATCACAAAACTAAAGTAAAAATTGAAGATATGCACAAATAGTAGAACTCAGCTAACAAGGCTCGGATAATTCCTGTTTCTTAAACCCATGTCGGCAGCAAGTAAATGCAGTTATGCCATGTAAACCAGCAATAACTCTTGGAGTACATGCTCATGCAATGGAGGTGACGGCAGTAGCCTAACTCTCTCTGACTTTTCTTCTGAACCGAGGTTTTTGAACTCTTTCTTCACAAGGTAGAATTTGCATTCCTACACACATGCTACCATATTTAAATATTCTGGCACTGACAATTAGGGGAATGAAGGCTTATAGGAAAGAGTAACAAATTAAATAAAATTGGTTACTTAAAATAAATATAAATCCCTACAAATTACATATTTTTATTTATTATTACATTATTTTCTTCTAGGCACCTTATTTTTTTTTACTTCTCTTGGTACCAAAGTTAAAAAGTTTGAGAAAAACTGGCAATAAGAAAATACAGATTCTCTATTTATAAACAAAGGTACATAATTTTTACATTAAAAAATGAAAATTTTGCAAAAATAAAAAATAAAGCAAATGAGCAAATTTTGTTGCCAAACTTGACAACTATTTGGTGACATTCTGGTTTTGTCAAACTGCAATTGGTACTCTAATTGGATAACTATAATTGATCCCTATATGTTACTGTAATCGTATCCAGCCCTTTTATGTAACTATAACGGAATATGCCTTCCAGTAATTTCGAGAAATGGAAGGCACTAGATTTCTCAGCAGCTGGGGTAAAACTATATAAGACCACAGAGAGCCTCAACTCTCAGTTTTTAGTCCCCAATCAGATGCTCTTGCAAGCTTCACTCTTTGCATTGTGTTCTGTTTACCATTCTTAATTTACAGTAGTAACCTCTGATTGTGTTCTGTCATACTAAGAAGAGTAGAGAGTACTTATGTAAAATGCTTCTTTTGTGAAAATAAATTTTATCAAATTATCATTGGTTCTATATGCATTCAATCCATTATGAACCCGTACACACACAACAATTTTTAAAACCAAAATATCAATAAATAAAGTCATTGACTTGAAACTGATTTTTGTTTATATATAAATCTAGAAATATGCAAAAATTTTAAAGTATATTAAGAGAATAATACACATAATCAATTATTAAATTCGTTTACCAAGTCTTAAAGCACATAATGTACTTTACGATTATCCACACACCCTGGTTTCAACATTTGATAGAACTGCCATGTTTGGATGCATTTCCGAGTATACATACAGCAACCAACTCCCACACATGTGTACCATATATATTTTTCAATACACGTGGATTTACATGCTCCATGCATACATTTACATATATATAGTTATGATTTCACTTAACAACCACCAACTACAAAATGTAAATATAAGTTATGTAGATTTTTGTTCTCATAAAATTTCTCATTCCTCATAAAATGCTTCTTTTGATAATTACATATGAGTAGAACTGCAGCTCTGAGGTATAAAGATAGTCAAACAATATTTCCCAAGCCAATTTACAAAGTCAGCAATACTCGTTGGCAAAATACTCGTCTTGGGGATAAGTATAATCAGAAATTACCGCAATATTTTCTTTTGCTACTTACTTCAAATAAACAAGTTTTAAATCAAAATTAACTAAATTTTTCCTTTGCCCTTATCCTTCTGATACATATAACCTACCACTCATTTAAAAAAAAAATCTGAAACTTTCAGATTTTATATTACGTCCAAGGGGGCATTTTTTAACATTTTGTATGTTACCTTTATTTATTAAATATCATGTTCTTCGCACTTAAACCATAAAATTCAATTCAACAGCAATATCACAAAATATTTAAAAGAGTGTATCTTTAGAATATTCCGATACACAGTCTCGTGCACTGGAGATTTTTTTTTTACAGTGTCGCCATTGCTTGCTTTGAAATCATTGAGTTTCTTAATCAAAAACTCATAAATGCTTTATAAAATATGAAATAGATAATAAAGCAAATTCCAAATTTGGGCTTCCAGATGGCCATATTCAGGTGGAGATACATTATTCAAAATTTGATGTTTTATCCCAATGTGAGAAACATACATTTATGAAGATTCTCTATTATTTAATTTGGTACTATTCGGTTTCGAGGGCCGTAAAAAAATTGCATGCGCAAAAGCGCCAAATCTAGCGTACGCGCTGATTTCAGATTGCGCAAGTTTATATAGTTCTATATTTCCTAAGATGCCATTGAAATACTAGTTTAATTTTTAAATTATTTTTTGATTTTAAATCCTTTTTTGATATCCTATGGATTTGTGGTGATAGCGATAAGGAGCAAGCCTTGCGCCCTCCGAAAAGTGTGGCAACCCTAGAGGAGAAGTTTCTTACGAGTAGCGAGCAGAGCGAAACACCCAATCCTCGGATTCCATATCACAGATTATGTCTTATTGCATATAAATATAACAAGACATACTGCACAATAAAAATTAAGCTTTATTTCGGAACTTTGCGCACACTCCCCGACAGCCGGCCTGTTTCGCTCTGCTCGCTACTCCTAAGAAACTTCTCCTCTAGGGGTTGGGCCCACCAGCGGCCGAGCAGTAAAGTCGCTGAACACTGGTAGTTGGTCCGAGGTTCGAATCCCGCGAACGGGCTGGCTGCATGGGTGTTTTCGTGGTTTTCCCCATGTGTAACGTGTATACGAGCCAGTTTCCCTTAGAAAGTCCTCCACGAAGGCATCACTCCCCTTAGGCAGATAGCCCTAGTGAGCTTTGCCATAATTAAATACACCACCACCTGTAGGGGTTGCCACACTTATCGGAGGGCGCAAGGCGCGCTCCTTATCGCTGGAATTGCCCATGACGAAAAGTCGGCAATAGAATTTTGGGTAAAGTGAAGAATCACCCACTGCTTGACGCGTTTTTAAGAATTGCAAATACTCGGTATCCATATGCACATCGACCTATTTTTACTTTAAAAAAATCCTAGAATTGCACAAAAATGGCACTGCGCACACCCTTGACTTTATCTATGTACACATCGACCTAATTTCACTTAAAAAGTAAAAAGAAAATTGACAAAAATCTAATTGTTTTTTACCCTTGTAAAAAGCGGCAAACAAATAAGTGAGCGATTCTGCACTTTACCAAGAATATTTTCAAAGGAAAGGCATCATTCTTTATAGAAAATTACTTTTGAACAACCAATGAGATGAAATTATGCTTTAGCGATAAGTTGGTAACGAAATAGCGATGCAGGCATCCATTCAGTTATGTTTAGCAATTTTTATAAATTATAATAATGATCTGAAATAGTTATTTACTCTTATGCTTCCATTCAGTCATGTTTAGCCTTTTTCATATAAATTATAATAATAAAAAGTATTATATGAAATTAACCTTTCATCTAAATTAAAACATCAATCTTAAATAGCCATTTACTATTATAGTACTTCCTTTCTTGCGGCAATTATTAGGGTTGCTGCAATTACTTTTGGCAGCATTGGCATCAACAATAGTTTGGCGATATTTTACGGCCCTCGAAACCAAATAGTACCTTTAATTTCTTTAAATATAACACAAGGCTCTAATATTTGGTGGCAACAATTTAAAAAGTGATTCATCGTTTATAGTGAATCAATGCAAAATGCCAAAACGAACCCATTATGACAAATTGCCCCTTTGGGCTAAAAAAAAAACTTTAAATTATACTGGCATCATATTCATAGTATCTAAGCAGCACCAAATATATCTTAAAAAGCTCTCATTTAATTCTATGTTGTCTGCCCCATACATACACACAAAAAAAGGCATCATTATACATAACACAAAAAATGGAATAAAGAACACTGTAAAAAATAGTTTTTAATTTAAACTTGATAATTTCATTTAATGTAGTTAAAATATTTAAAGAAATTTTATTCTGGAGTTAACTCACAAGAATTTGAGTACCCTTGTTTCCAGCGCAAGGTTTAGGAGGATACAAAGGTTTTCCATCAGAATACTGTACTCTGAAAAGGGAAAAAGGAGTATGCATATATATTAAACACATAAATGCCAGAGTGTTCAAAAATGATTTTCAGATTAAATAAACATATACAATAAAAATTATTAATGCTTATGGATTAGGTAAAAGTTTACATTTGGGTGCCCCTTGTTTCTTGGCGATTCTTTTTTGACACCAAGATTGGTGCCAGGAAGGCACAATTTCAAGATGGCCGCAACACAAAACCAAAATAAAAAGTCAAAGAATTGCACAAACTTGTGTCCATGTACACATCGATCTGTTTTCACTTCAAAAAACATCGTAGAATTGCACAAACTAGGCTTTGCGCACTGCCTTAAACTTGTCCATGTACACCTCAATCTATTTTCATTTAAATAAAATCAGGAAGCTAAAACAAAGTTAAAACTATCATGGTAACCAGAAGTGAGGTTTCATCGGCAAAATTTTTAGAAAATTGTCGCTAATTGAAGGGGCACCCAATTCTACACTAGAGCCATAGTTACTGCTACAGATACTAAATAATGATTTTAACTCGCTAAAATACAGAATGAAATATAGAAAACAGAGGGATGGTCCTGAAGTTATGATTGGATACTTCCTGACAAATCAATCTGAACTAGAAAATATCCTCAACTTATAATCACGTTGCATGCTGATTAATTCTTCATAAGATGAAAATATAAGAAATCAAAACTGCATTTAATACCTTAATCTAACAAATATAATAGTTCAGATTAGGGTAAAATCCTAGTATACGGTGCAGCCTTGGCACGATTTTGAAAATTATCACCAACACCAAAATGACCCGTTTAACTACTCATCGTATATGTCCCGTTTACTGCTTATCATAAATTCGTCAAAAGTAGTCAAATCCCTTGTGCAAGGGATACTAGGATTAAACCCAGATTAAATGAGCTCCAAAACTTACATCAGCTGTTAAAACTTACATCAGCTGTCCAAAACTTACATCAGCATATAGCCTGTGCAAAGTAATGTGATGCAAAGCCTAATTTATGATAAAATTTGTGTGTGCATGTGTGCAGTTTACTGAATACTGCTTAATACTTTTTTAAAAAATAGCATGTTTAAAGCAGGAAACATCCATAATAAAATCCTTAGCTTTTTCAAGAAATCTTTATGTAACATTATTTGTATTGCTCTCCCCATGTACAAATTTGTTTTTACATTAAAAGACATCAGAAAATGTACAAATTCAGCAATGAACAAAATTTTGATCCATAACATTTGATTATTTAAAGATTCTTATTAATTTAAACTATGAAAAAAATCCATTCACATATAAATGCATTCCCAAATAAAGCAATTATTCTCAGAACAAAAGTTTGAAACTAAATACACTTATTTTTTACCTAGTACAAACCTAAGTTAATAAAATCTGTATCTTCATTTCTTTATGATTTATATATTATAAATTATTAACCTCAGTTTATAAATTTTCTGGAGCATTATTCCCACTCATTTTTAATAATAATGAAAATAATGTAAAATCAGACTCTGAATAATTAAAATCGTGAAATATTTGCAACAAATGCATAACTGAAATGCATTTATGGGCTGCATAAAATTGCTTTGGGGACCGCATATTGCTCACAGGCAATCAGTTTGAGATTACTGTTACAAAGCTAAAACAGAATAATTAGCTATAAATGTTATTCTTACTTATATGCACATTTAGAATTACCAGTTTTGGTAATTATTGTAACATGTGCAACATGGCTTATACTTGCTAATGCTTCTCCACGAAAACCATATGTGCAGATAGATGAAAGATCTTCATATTTTTCAAGTTTGCTGGTAGTAAATCTTTCACATACAATATCCAAGTCTTCTTTCTAATAAAAAAAGTGAAAGAATGTACCTTTTATTAATACATAAGCATTATCAGAGAGACCAAAATTTTTGTAAATTAATTTTAAAAAACTGTTTTAGCAAAAACTTTCTTTTTAGTTTATAAATTTTTCATTGAGTGATTTTTTTTAAAACTGAAAAAGTATATAATAATTATTTGATTTTCAATTTAAGAAAATAGTAATTTATAACATTAAAATTTTAAATTTGCTAAACATTAATAAATACTTTACACACAAAGATAATTCTTTCTTTTTCTACTGCCCAAAATATATAATCTATTTAATATTCTCCCTGATTAAAGATTTGTTAAAATCTGACATGTAGCATTCTGATTTAAGAAATCTAGTTAAACAATTTCCTCTACTTGATAATTTTCCCCCCCTTAAAAATTTATAAGCTGCAGTCAATATATAATCCATTTATTAGTATATTACTATACCTATCGTTAATATTTGGTTGTAATGAAGGTTTTCCACCAAAAGTCTTTCTTAATAAAGTTAGAAAAAAACAGTATGTTTGGTAACATGAAAGCAGTATGTTTAGTGGGGATAGTAATCACCCCCCAATCTATGATTTTTTGCCAATGTTCTGGGAGTTTTTCAAAGCTTTTGACACAGAAACTTGGTGGCAACAAATCTAAAAACAGATCAACCTCATGTCAGACATACTGTGCAGAATGGAAGATAGCAGCAGCAAGATAGCTGTAGGTGTGAAAAAAGATAGACGTCTGAAGAAGCAATGTCGGGGCTATATGGTGGGTTTAGCAAAAGTTCCCATTCAAGTCCATACAGAGTCCAGCCGGTGAATACAGACACATCTGCTCTTGCATTATCTTGATGGAACATTACCTTTTTGCAATGGAACTTAGTTCGATGTTTTCCCTTGATAGCAGCATCAAGACGGACTAGCATCTCGTTGTACACCTTACCATTGAGGGTTTTACCTTTTTCTAGATACCTTTTCTGTTAATCAAATTCTGCTTTGTGATGCTGCCGACAGGCTCACCATGTGCAGACCAACCCCCTTTTCGGCCTGTGTTGTTGAAGTAAATTCACTTTTCATCACAAGTGTTGATCCAGTCGAGAATTTTGTCCTTGCATTCAGCAGATTATTGTAGCCCCGGACACATCTGTCCTTATCTGCTTGAATGAGCTCATGCAACACCCAGCGATTGAACTTGTACATCAAATTTATGTCATGCATAGCACGACTAATGGACACTGCATTAATGTCTAACTATTTAGCAAACTCTTGAGTGATTGCATACTGATCTTCTTCCACAAGTTCTCACAAGTAAGCCTCATCAACATCAGTGGGCAAGCCAGAGTGTTCTGCTTCTTGAATGTCATAGTTCTTGTTTTTGAACTTTCAGTACCAAACCTTCACAGTGTCATATGATACATTAGTACCTAGTTAGTTTTTCTGTACACAAGCATTCCGTAGCTAAATTTTTACAACAGAACTGGAAGTAAATGATGGTTCTAATCTGGTAGCATGATAGTTCCATTTCAGACATCTTGTACTTAATGATAACGTTTTTTATACAAATTTCACAAGACAGTATTCTAAAGCAAGTTTCTTTCCTTCAAATGCCAAAAATTGTTTTACAAAATACGATTAAATATGGCAATTTGAATTGTTTGCGCAGATGATATTTGGGGTGGTGGAAAACTTTCTTTAAAACCCGATACAGTTAAAAGTCTTTAATCCTAACGTCCACAATCTGGAATGATCTATAATTCGGACCTCAAAGCTACAAACTTTCTGCGCATGCGTCAACGCATAATGCGTTAACTTGTGTGCATAATACGTTTACGCATGCACGTTTAATGTATAAAGGACGGTATAAGCTAAGCTAAAATAATCTAATTATCTATTTCAGTTAATGTTGCAGATTGCGTTGTTCCTTAATCTTCTAATTGGATCCGGCTTATTATTTTTTGCAGACTATCAGAGCAATTTTATAAAAGTAAACTTGAACTCTCGATTATGTCAAAAAGAATTTCCGATTCTGGAGCTACCAAAGGATCTACAAAGCGAAAGCATGTTTCGATGTCCATTAAACAAAAAGTGGAATTGCTGCAAAAAATGGATAAAGGCATATCCTTTGGTTCTCTAACCATTCCGAAATCTGTTTTATCAATTTCACGCTGCTCTGGGGGAGGGGGGGACGACGCGGCGCGCAATGAACTGGAAGTTGATATGTCAGCACTATCCTTATCTTCAGGGCAGATGTTTTTATTTTATTCGGCTTATAATTCCTTACTAAATGTTGTATTTTATCTCGATGCACTCCGTCTTTGATACGATTTAAATCAAAAACACATCGTCATTATAAATATCATGAATACACATCAAATAGTTTTCTGGTTGCAATTTTCTAATTTCGACTATGCGTAATGTATGCTTTACGCACGTGCACGTTGAAAGAAACGTTTAATAAAGTAAACAAATAAATATTAAGCTTTTTTTTTTTTTTTTTTGTAAATTTTGATACCCTTTAGATCATAATTGCTCTTTATTTCATAAATTATGGTGTCATATTTTTAATTTTATAATTTCTACATGCCATCTTACCAGATTTAAACTGATGATCTATAATCCGGAAAAACCGATAATCCGGAATCGTCGAAGTCCCGATGAGTTCGGATTAAAGACTTTTGACTGTATTTTGTTCCTATTACTTTCTCTAAAATTTTTTTAACTTATTAATGCTGTTACAAATATTCATATTTTTCTAAAGAATATCAAAGCATTATTCCAAGTACAGTCAAATCTGTATCACCTGGAATCATCTGTACTACCTGTAATCAGTGAATCACCTGGAGCTCACAATAAAATATGTTAAACGGGCATTATTCACTTAATCAGGAGGTACTTTTTCTAGGAGCCCTTCCGTGCTACCAGAATCTCATTTTCCAGAAAAGTCCCACCTAGCAGCAACTGTTGCTAGATATGATACCTCTTAAATGTCAAAAGAAACTCCTCTTGGAAACTTACACTACTAATTGTTAAAAAAATCTGACTGAATCAAAAAAAAACTTACTTGAATACCTGTACCATTATCTTGTATCTGGAGCATTTTTATGCCTCCTGATTTCACAACAACTTGAATAGTCGTTGCTTTAGCATCTAAACTGAAATAAAATTACAATACAAAAATAATTTCTGAAGAAAATTTTAAATAGGAGTCTAAATTCTACATATATATATATATATATATGATATATATATATGAATTCACTATAATACTTTAATAATAATTTATTCCCCCAACGTACTGTATAACTAAGTTAACATCAAACAAACCTATTTTCAATCATTTCTTTCAGAGCACTGGCTGGTCTTTGAACAACTTCACCAGCTGCAATTCTGTTAACTACAGTTTCATCAAGTTTTTTTATTACACCAGAAGCCATCTTTAACAGCACGTAAAATAATTCTTCACTAAAACTAAAGGGAAAAGAATATAAAAGGAAGTTAATAAGATGTACATACATATATATTATTAAGTGAATATATAAAAATTAAAAGAGCAACAAATTTAATCTCGGTTAAGTACTTTCCCCACTTTTGTTTTATCCTATGTTGATCCTAACAACATCCCATTTTTATGTTCACTTTTAATCTTTCAATATGTGCACATTATATCGAATTCCTGTTAATGAATGGATGAATAGGCTTAGGTAATCCAAAGTTTACAGATCGTAAAATTTTTATAATTTAGGGATGCGATGGGCAACAGATTTTCTGATCCGGTGTCATTGCACCAAGAGGCAAAATGTTAAAATTTATATTACTACTGTTGTCATTTTTACTATCATTTTCACGAACAGTATATCTGTTATTAATTACGGATTTGAGACGCGTGCAAATTTGGAGTTTATCTCTTATCTCATTCAAAGATTTTTCCGTATAAAATATTATGTTAAAATTAGCACTAAAAGAAAGGTAATTACTTAACAGATCTCTCCAATGAAGTTAAAAATTAAGTCTTTATCTTACAATAATAAAACATCAAAATTCATTATTTTAAGTAGCTTATTTGATTTGCAAAAGACGACAATATTATTATAATGTATTAAAACACAAACAAACACAACTGTATCTCGCGCTCATGCAATACAGTCGCAGTTATTTATAAAAATAAATACAGTTAAATATTCAAGTGAATCAGTAATTTAAAAAATAATACTTTCACGGTGTGTAATATTTTCAGTAATACGATTTCAAGAATTTTTATAAATATAGCTGTATAACTCGATTATAAAATGCATATTTTATATGAAAAATTGTGTTCAAGTTTTCATCTTTATATTTAATAATATACATATAAGAAAACTGCAGTGAAGTGAAACTCGTCGGCAGAATTTCCGCGCTTTTGTTAGTATTTGCAGTTGCGAGACACAGGTTGTTGATTTGTATGTTATATATGACTTTTTGAATTAATTTTCTGTTTATAATGGATTTTTTAGAATATCCTGAAATAGTAAAGGAGGAGAAGGGTTGTTTGGTGAGTACCAGCTATCATTCTAAGATTTCCTTTTGACCTTTTTCAAATTACGATCCGAAATAATATCAGTAAGTTTGATACGTAAAAGAATCCTCCGTAAAGTTAAGACTTATAAGTACTTTAGCTGCCAAAATATTACTTTGTACTCGAAGAGTTAAGAGATCAGAAACATTTTTTCATGTTTCACAGTAATTTTACAGCGAACACGTTTATTATCGTGTTTAAGTTCAATAAATTATGGAATTAGAGCTTGGTGTAATTGCTAATGCCTGGAATGTAAAGGGTAGAGAAAATATGATATATAAGAATTAACGCGCATTAAATTATTGACAGTACGATAATATACCATCAAAAATGATATTTCCACCCCCTTTCAGCTTCTCGCAATTAAAAGTTTCAATTTTTTTATTATTATTTTTAATAAGGCATCAGCTTTACACTAAATCTATAATTATATTCATGGTACAAGTATTTGTATAACTTTCCTTAGGATGAAACTTTACATGGCTCATATTCATAAGTAGAGATAGATTAAACCTAAATTTTCTGGAATAAGTAAGAAAACGGTATGTAAGCCTAATATGAAAATTTTGTAAATGAAGCAGAATTCGTCATTGATTTTAATACAAAAGAAATTCACCACCACTACTACTTGTTGTTTATAAGGAAATTACAAATAAAATTTATTAAATGAAGTATGTAATACACTCTTAAATTTGGTGCCTCATTTTGTACATCATTTGACAAAAGTATGTACTTACAAATCACCCTGTCAGATTTTGAAAATGTGTAAAATTCTGGTGACCTTATAAGAATTCTTCAATTTTAACAAATATTTTGGTATGCATTCTTTTTATCGGTTTAATCCTAGTATCTTGTGCACATGGGATTTGGCTACTTTTGGCAACTTTATGATGAGCAGTAAAAATGCGACATATACGATGAGTAGTAAATGGGTCATTCAAAGAATATAGTTATACATAGTATAGTATATACATAGACGTTCTTTGGATCATTTTTGGTGTTGGCGATAATTTTCAAAATCGTGCCAAGCAAAAGTTTTTATTGATGTCTTATTTTTATCTTGAATTTCGTTTTTAAAATATGAGTGTGTGTTTTAGCTAAAGTAGAAGAAACTAAAAACATTTCTGCAGGAATACAGTATTTTGTGCAAATAATTGCTTTTAAACTCTTCTTAAGCAACAGCCATGAAATTTCCATCATAACAAAAGAAACAAAAAAAATCTTGTTAAATTTATTTATTAATTTTTTGGCAGAAATACATGATTGTAATGTAAAATAGTTATTCAGTAAATATATGTTTACAACTACAGTCAAAAGTCGTTAATTCGGACTCGTCGGGACTTCGGCGATTCCGGATTATAGATCATCACTTTAAATCTGGTAAAATGGCATGCAGAAATTATAAAATTAAAAATATGAAACCGTAATTTACAAAATAAAGAACAATTATTCCCCCGACGCATTCGTAGAAAGTTTGTAGCTTTGAGGTCCGGATTATAGATCATTCTGGATTATGGGTGTCCAAATTAACGACTTTTGACTGTATAAACCCATCAAAATTAGCTACGGTGTTGTGCTAATATGTGAGTATCCAAAAACATTTAAATTGCCTCTCAGAATTCAATATTTGTAGCTGATTCATCTGGTAGATAACTGGAGTTGCAAATACCATGACATAAGTAGCTAAAAACATTCTCATTACATATACAGCTTCATGATCCTTGATTCTTTACTTAATGCATCCTTATTCAGTAAATGCTGAACTTAATTTTGATCTCTATTTTCAACTGTCATGTTTAAAAGCTGCTTGGCATAACATCGGAGCTTTATATAGGACACCTGAAAAGCTGGTGCAGCAGCTATATTTACTTACATATTTATATGGTACATTCTGATTATTCACACCCCTTGCCAAAAGGTCTCGAACTTTTCGGCAGGCTTAGAGAATATTTCGAAACTTCTTGATGATTGATTTTTGCAAAGCTACAGTGAGATATTCATTTTGAAAATGATGTCAAACTAAGAATTCCTAGAAGAGAAGCAATCAATAAAATTGAAAAGCAAGGAACATCAATAGTAAAACACTACTTATCTTTTTTTGGAAAATCCTTCCCCCCCCCCCCCCCCCCACATACAGACAGCAATCTATTTTTGGGGTTTTCTTCCGCAAAGGATCCGTTGGCGCCAATGCGTATTTATTCACCAAGCTCAACAACTGCTCATCGGCCATGATTTTAGCGGTGTATAGTTATAGTTAAGTAGCAAGATATTTAGTATATAGAAGTAAAATAAATAGGTTGATGATGACATTTAGCGGGGTTACCCCGGGAGGAAGCACGCTGTATTATTTAACACAAGAACGCGCGTCGCAATTAAATGACATACAAATGAAACACATTATTGTAATTCAGTGAAATAATGCATTCTGTATTAATTGCAACATTTATTATATAAAATAACTTAAAAATAATGGTTATTTTAAAATTAATAACAGACATACAAATGAAACATATTATTACAATTCAGTAAAATAATACATTCTGCATTAATTGCAACATTTATTATATAAAATAACTTAAAAATAATGTTAATTTTAAGATTAATAACAAATAAAAGTACTTACATTTTCTTCAGATGACTAGGAATCATTGATTTCTATGAGAAATTTGTGTTTTTTTTAATTTTTGAATGCAAATATAATCCATATTATGCAGAATTATTACATGGATAACGAGTTATATAATTAATTTTCAAATCAATTAGGCTCAAGAAGAATTAGATATTTTGTAGTTTTATACATGAAGCTTCTATTTCACAGTGTTCTTGACATATTTTATTTTACGCTTCACACATAAAGTTTTTGATTTTCTGTCTTTTTTTTCTTGAGCACATGTAACATCTCCAGTAACAATTTTCTTTTCTTTGTTAGCGAATCTTCAAGAGAATCTTCGTTGTATTCCTACTGTTTCTGTTATTATTTCAAATGAGGATCTAAAAGTGCAAAGCCAAATCAGAAATGCCTCCTATTCTTAAACTTCTCGATGGAGTTTTGGTAGATAAAAGCAAGATCCTTGAATTTATGCCGGCAATATTTAATAGCGAAAAAAATATGCCCATCAGTTTGATATTCTGGCCACAGAATAAGTGCCACCCATTTCGCCGACTATATCAACTGCTCCTTTTGTCATGTTATAAAACGTAATTAACTTTAGATTTCTTCAAATCTCCCATGCTTTCATCAATACGGTCATCATTGTGCATAGTTGACAAAAGGTTAACACATGTGTTCTTTTCAGCCATATAAGAAAGTAGCATTATATCCTTATTCGACACAAATTCAGGTGGGATAATCTTATCCTGGCATATTGTTCTAACGATAGAAATTTTATTTTTCTGTAAGAAATTGGCCAATTCATAATTGGTATACCAACTGTCTGTGTCAAACAAAACATGACAATTCTGAAAAATGTTTCTTCCAAAATTATATAATGGAGATGCACTTTGCTTTTTCACAAAAACTGTTGACTTTCTTGTATGACCCATCTGGCTGCTGACCTGAGTAAATCTCCATGTTCAAAGTACAGAAGGTTCTAAAATCAACCACAGTAAATATCTTTATACCATATCTTGCAGGTTTCTTAGGCATATACTGCCAAAAGGAGCATTGTCCTCGAAAATGTTCTAGCTTTTCATCCAAAAGTCATGTATTCCCTTACATGATATGATTTCTGACAATTCTCGACAAAATTTTCAAACAAATCTCTTATTGGAGCTAATTCATCACTCTTCTGTTATCCCGTGTTCGACATTATCGAATCGTAAGGCACGGAGGATGAAAAGAAAATGCTTAGTTCATTTGTTTTATGAAAAATATCCAATCTTGTTCCATCAGTCGCCCATAATTCTCTAGCGTTTACATGGGAGGATTTGTGCAATCCAGCTATGTACGAGTCCTAAAAAAGCAAGAAACTTTTCTTTCTCCATAGGTTCTGCGTCTTTTTTAAAATTTCCCAAAATATTTTTTACATAAATATTAAGAGTATCTCACAATCATTTCAATCACTGTGTCATCAATATTAGCTTCCATTCATGAATGGGTGAAGTTACATCTTTAGATATATATGTATTGTCAGGCAATTTTTTTATGATATTATGGGAATCTTTGAATTCAAAAGTGTTCTTTCTTCCATTTTGTTGTTTTATCTTTTCCTACAAAATAGTCAGTTTTATCACAAGGAATGTCTTCTGTAGAGTCGCACTATTTTTCTGATTCAGACTGATGATCACTAAATATATTGTAAAGTATTTTGTAGTAATTGACAAAATAACAGATGATCTTCTTAATAAAACATAAATTTTATTTTTAGTTTAGGGAGATAGATAATTTGAAAAAAATTCTTTAGTGGCAGATTTTTCATACAACTACTAGCTGGTAAAACTTCAGAATTCTCATTTTAAACAATTTCTTACGTTGCTGAGCAATGGTTACATCATACAACTATGGCATTGCCACTTCAATAAATATATATTTATTTGTTAAATAACAAAATATTACAATGTCTTCATTATCTGAATCTAAGAAAGTCCACCTCTGAAAAGATGTTTGGAAACTTATAAGAAATGATGTTCTGCAAATTTATCTTAAAATGGACCTAATTCAATGCTATATACATTAGTGCAATTCATAATATCCAAAGTGAGAATGGAAAAAGCAATATTCTCATTTCCATTTATGAAATAACCAATGCTGTTGACAAATTAATACGTACCCTAGGATAATTCCAGTTCCAGGATATCATTGAAATTATTTCTCCTTATAACAGATGTGGGAAAAACACTGATGAAATTAAACATGACATCATCATTTTCTTCTGAATGATGCAGCCATACATATGAAAAAGGCAGATGAAACACTTCTCAAAATGATGTATCTGAAAAGAGTCATAAATGCTTTACGTGAAAAGTTCATGAATTGT